AAGCCGCATTAAGATAAATCACGTAATTTATATTGGTAATATTTATATTTTAATTTATAGCTATGTAAAACTTTCTTTGCCCGATTCTGTACAACTAAAGAAATTCATGTGGTATAAATACCTTTCGACGTTGGAAGTTGGAAAATTACGAGGCAGCGACTCAAAATGTCCCTTGAAACACGAATTTGTTTGACGTAAAAGATTTAACTGCATTTGTGTTTCTACGTTTATGAGATCGAAATGTGTATTCAGCTAAGAGATAGAGGTTACTTCGCGATGCGATTCCAAAACTATTCTGTCGAAATGAAGTCACGTCGGCCGTAATATCGTCGTTTGTATTCGTTGAATTACGCACGCTCACGCATGCTGAATTAGGGAGTCGAATTAGACGCCGCGCGCGAATATAATACGTCTAAGCCTCTGCCTTCTTGGCTCATCGAGATTAATTGCACGTTTGCCATCTTCATCGTGTCGCTGTCTAAAATTCTCTCCGGTACTTCATTCATCGTCGTGTACTACGTCTTTGCTTGTATGTGCCTGGATAAGTGTACGCATCGTACAGTGGCTCTCGATCAGTGACATATGCTAAATTCACGTAAGCCATCATTGATACGATAATAAACGCGCACGCGCTGCGGCGTTGAGATAGATGTAGGGAAGGTCGGATCTATTCGGTTAACTCTGATATACGGCTAATACTATTTGTAACAATAATTTCTAAATTTATAAATTGCTTGCGGATTGCAACAAAAAGGAACGAGAATGAGATAAAAATATGAGACAGAACGAGAATTCGCGGTACAAAACCTGTGGTTTCGATTCTTTTGAGAAAAACATATAAATTTGTAAGTTTCGAAAATTTACATAATTTTCACATAACCACATTGGAAAATACACGTAGAATTTTACATTATTAAATTGATATAAGTGGTATAGATTATTATGCAGTTTCAATAAGGATTATTATCAAATGATACACTCTTTTGCAAGAATTAGCAGTCAGCTAATTGACGATTCTTCGCGATGTAATTAAATTGTTCGAACGTATCTGCAATCACTTTATGTTCATCGATTGTATGCTAATTAGTCATACAGCTAATTATATTGCGAACTTACTACAGTTCTGCAAAATATGCTGTAATTTTAGCTCTTTTTTACAATGATGTAACATATGATTGTTACTAATAATAATCAATTTATCAATTTAATAGATTATTTTACAATGAGTTATATATAAATATATATAATTCAATGGGTGAATTATCTCCTCAACATGGGTATTTTTTAAATAGAAATTTATCTCGTGGAAGATCAATTAACAAACACCGATATATTTTATTTAGCTCGTATTACTGGCATTCTCTTTTTATTTATCGACAATCCATTAACAATTTATTGATGTAACCGAGTAAATTCGATATCTTTCCTACGCTCGGGAGATTTTTGCTGTCGAGAGAAACTCCCGACAAGTAAAATTCTCGTTTACCGACGACGAGTGGTTGCTCGCCGTCGTGCGTTCACCAGAGCATTTTATCGTCGACAGTTGCTCTCGGACAGCGAAAGTCTCGGTTAAAGAATTACATCACGGCGTTAAAACTCGCCTCTCGTGGCGTTCGCGCGACTAATCTGGAAACACAAAGTACCCCCGAGGACAAAAAGAAATGAGAGATCGACTCTCCTCGCGTGCAATACGCGAGAGAGTACGAAAGAAAGAGAGAGTGGTCATCAACGGCATTCGTATTCCAAACGACATTCGGCCGAGTTTTGACGATCAGAAGGATGGACGACACACGCTACGAAAAAGTCTACGTCAGGCTGTACGAGACTTTTGGCTCGTCCCGTAAGAGAACAACTTTCATATCTATATATTACACTTTTCTCTCCTCGATATTCTCTATATACATACATATATATATAATCTTTTTCTCTATATATATATTTATTTATTTAATACAATATATACGGAGCCACACGTGATACCGCTATATACTATACACATCCCCATCATCCTTCCGCGAGTATATCTTATACATATGGAATGTCCAGGCTCTTTATATGTATATATATATATGCACCGTCTCGTTACATGCATACGTACGCGCACGAGCGCACTTGCTGCGTATGTACGTGTGCATAAACGTACCGTGTTACAGATGTACATTAACATACACACCCACACCACTTTTATGTATTTGTTCTGCCATCATCTCGGCTGTTGATTCACTGAATGTTAACGCCCATTTATATATATACTCTCTCTTCTCGTTCTTGTACGCCTCAGACACGTTCTTGCCCATCACGACTTACCGCTATCATCGCCAATCGTCGTTATCGATGCACGAGCAGCGGGACGGTCCGAAAGTCGTCAAGTCGCGTCAAGGCAAGCCGATTCCAGGCCCAAGGGAGGACTTTGCGACTGTTTGGCACCGACCTGGTGCGAGATGCGATAACACGACGTCGTTCTCCTCGCGTAATCTTACTGTCTTATCCTCTCTATCATAACACCATTCGTATTTCGCCGATGGGAGTACCGGCAGATCGGCCATTTCTCGCGCCTATCGTGATTAGCTTAATAGCGTTTTCGACTGGACCAGGATTAATCGCTCCGGGCGCGATTAATGACGTCACGAGTTCGGTTTTAGGCTACTGGACAAATAACCCAAACGCAACCCATACCATTGCGAATTGATCCATCAGTGCCAAGAAGCTCTGTAAGGTTCGAGTCAGGTTACACGTGCGTGTTTATTGTAGAACGAAGCATTCTTTGACGATAATAACGCGCAAGTTTACCGATAAATATTTCGATTTTATCGTAAAGTTAAAACGAATACTGTAACTAGAATCTAACCCAGATTCATAACACATTTTCGGTCGAACATATGCTCCTAGGATCTTGGGGTCAATCGCTCCGGGAGCGCTGAAACCCATGTCAGTTGCAGTCAGTCGAAAACGCTACAAGTGCTTCGATTACGCGGTCTGATTAAAATATCTCAAAATAGACTTCTGACAGACTTTTTTCACTTGCTTGCTAACTCTGTTTTATTTCAAGATTTTACTCCACGTGTGCATCGCGCATTACGTTTATTTTATTTTTATTTTCGAACAACTGTTCTCCAGATTGAGAATAACCTGTATTGTTACGCTCTACGGAGAAATCGCTTGTTATATTTATTGAATGTAATTCATTCGGGGAAATGCACCGGTCTGCCGGCACTTCCACGACTCATACACGAACTCATCAAGATGCGTATCCGTGCGCGAGCGCTTAGCCTCGCAGGCGATGAGTAACCAGCGTTCCCTCACCGGCTCATTGCTCTATTTTCTTCTTTCATCGAGCCGATAAAACTCAAGCCCCTGTTACTCACGCCCGCGGAACACCGATACGCATCCACACGTGCATTCAAAAGAGATCTTGTCCATACGACGTGGCCGCGTTTCGAGCTAGCAATAGCTAGGAATAGCTAAGAAATCGCGAATTGCTATTTTTTTTTGTCGATACGACAATTACAAATTCTCGTGCATTTCCAAACGATCTCTTCGACAAAATCGCACCGTTGATCGCGACGGAGACCGACGGGTTCTCCGGGAAAAGATCGGGTGAAATACGAAGGAATACGTGTTAACGTAGCACGATGACAAATCATCGAAACGCCGCGCGCAGAAAAATGGACAACGATGTCGGCCGTACGTCGCGGTGGGCGAAAGAACTGCGGCGGCGCCCGGCGTCCGGAAGAGGATCACCGTGAGAAAAATTTAATAAAAAAAAAAAAGGAGAGAAATTTTCAAACAAGCATATTGAAATGTTAGAGCGTGACCTTGCGACCGTGAGATCGTCGAAAGGACCTAACGTGGCGTTACCGATCGACGATCGTCGATCGTTATCAGTGATCGGTGCGGTGCCAATCGAATCTCAGAATAACAATCAGGCGATAAAGACGCGAGTTCAGAGCCAGACAAAGATCTGATCCTGAAATAGAGAGAGAGAGGGAGAGGGCGAGGAATGAATGTCGAGACACGTGGACGAGGAGTTCCTCGCCGCTTCTGTCGGCGAGAATCGTTTCGACTCCTCAAACGCATTTTTTTTTCGGAGTGACGAAAACGCCTTTGCACTGTTCGGAGAAGAGAACGAAGAAGATTGTTTTGGAAGGAGGCTCGGCGGTACGTCGCTTTTCTTTCGTCAACCGGGACGCTGCCGGTGCCACTTCCGCTTCCTCGAGACTGTCCCGCGAATCGAGAGATCGAAGGATGAAAATAGCGTGCGTCATTCACAGCCAGAGTGCGCAATGAAGAGGAAATACTGTTCGGAATTTCGATAAAGGACTAAATTGTCCATCAAAAATAAATCGACAGTTCATTTATAACGAGATGGAAAATTACCGTAAAATATTATGATATAGCATTTCGCTTCCAGTCTATCAGTTTTTGTTTTTACGTATCTATACGTAGAAGCGGATGCTGTTATTTGTTAGTTTTATGTCACCGTTATTTTTCAATCTCTGTCTTTTTTAAGTTCTTGTTGAAACGTGACAAAATAAAAATGATTCTATCGTGTGTGATATGTCACAGACTTTTTGTGCGTTTTATGTTAATATTTTTATGTCTAACAGACGTTTCCAAATTAATTTTGTTCATTGTAATAAATAACTCTTCAAGTATGCGATACAGCAGTGGATGACATTACGCACAAATGAAACTACCTCAACGAACTCCGAAAGAGAGATGAGAAACACGGGGGCAGTCTCATGCGTTAGCGAAGCCGCACCCAACCAACCATCTTTATAGTCACATCTCTGAAACCGCACCACTGCATACTTCACATCCAAGAAAATATAAAAAAGAAATCAGACAACATCTCAACTACATCATCAAACAGACAAAAAAAAAAGATATTAGATCGCGAGATCGCGCTAGAGAGACACGACAGAGAAAAGAAACGGCGGCGCGAGAAAGAGTCGACGACCTGTAACCGTCTTCCCCGTTTGTTGCTTCTGTTGTATCAGGAGCTCAAAGCGACGAACGAGAGCTTGAAGAGTCTGCAGACGCAGCTGGAGCTCGCGTACGCCTCGACCGCGTCCTCGGGACATCCGGTGGTCGGTGGCAGCGGCATCAGCGGATTGGCGGGCGCATCGGTCATCGGACTAGGTAGCGTATCGGGGGGTGCAGGCGCTGGGGGCTTCGGCGGCGGTACCGTCCTCGGAGGTAGCGTGGCGGTTCCAGGCGGCGTGCCCGGTAGCACCACCCTGACCGCCATCATGGAGACGAAAGACGCGCGCATAACGACCCTGGAGAAGGAGGTGGCGTTGCTGGAGGCCGAGATGCAGCGTATTAAGGAGTGCGGTGGTAGACTGCGGGAACAACTGCTCAAGGTCACCGCTGTGCCAAACAGCGGTGGTACCGTACAGCAGCAGCAACAGCAGCAATTTGGTGGTATCATGCAGTCGACCGGCCTGGGTGGTCAGCAACAGCCCGGCACGTTGGCCCTGCCCAGGGGACCGTCCATGATGACCTCACTGGTACCGTACGGTGGCCACGGGTCATCCGCTGCACTAACCAGTTCGTTGCTTGCCGGTTCGACAGGTGGGACTACCACCGGGAGTGGCGTCGGGCTGGGCGTCGGTGGCGGTTCCTCGTGCCTGGCCGGCATCTCGTCGGGCACCACCACAGGCGTGGTCAATCCATATACCGATCGCTACGCCACCGATCATCATCCTCATCAGCTGCATCATCACCAGCATCACCATCACCACCATCTTCACCAGCAGCAGCAGCTGCAGCAGCTGCAGCTGCAGCAGCAGCAGCAGCAGCAGCAAATGCAGCAACACTTGAAACAAATAGAGCCGGCGGCGGCTGGCGCCCTTGCGCTGCATGCTCACACCTTCAACAAGCACGATCTGAACTTCAAACGGCAAGTAAGTTTCTTCATCAACAACGTGCGCATCGAAAAGAACGATGTCGTCTAGGGCGGCACCTGGGACGGCGCGGGAGGGCGGGAGTTCCTTCTTCAGTCACAGGTACACGAGGATTACGATCGCGTCGTCGTCTTCGTCGTTATCGTCCTTGTGTGTCATCGTCGTCCTCGTCGTCGTCCTCGTCGTCATCGTCGTCATCGTCGTCATCGTTGTCGTCGTCGCCGTCGCCGTCGCCGTCGTCGTCGTCGTCGTCGTCGTCGTCGTCGTCGTCGTCGTTGTCGTCGTCGTCATCGTCATCCTTGTCATTGTAGTTCTCGTCGGCTAGTTTCGAGAACCATCGAGATCGGAAAGAACTGGGTTGATGAGGTCGTTTCGAGAAAAGAGAAAGAGTTGCAGATAGCTTTCTAGCTGTTGTTCTCGTCGAGGGCGACCATCTGAGAGGAAGGAAAATGAGCGTCTTCGGGGAAGAGGCTAGATCACCGTGAAGAGGCGATCTAGGTGACAGAAGGTCGAAGAAAATGGCATACATAGTACGTAGGATGACTTCTCTGTCGAAGGGAGAGGAAGCTGAAGAGCTAGCGCCTGTGCAAGAGCGAGTCGCCGAGTCGAGACGGCGACTTCCGCGCTCGAGGATCTTTCGATTCTCTTCGTCTTCTTCTCCGAAATATCGCGTATTACGCACGTACGAGGCGGGAGTCTGTGAGAATTAAAACGATGACGCGGATGATGAACGATCTCGGTCCACACTTCGCACCACAATGTCCCTGCTGAACCCATCACGGCTGTGTTTTAAAAAGTTAAATTTTTATTACCGGACAGTGGCTCGGGAATGTACATATTCACAGCACTGTTAAGTTTTTATCGGACTTTCACATTATGCAACTATTCGCGTAAATATAAGCTCAACTATCTTAACAAGTTAATCGAATACTCGGTAAATAGTCCATGTGATATTTATGTTAGTTTTGTGAAACTAAATTAATTTACTTGGATATATATATTAGATACTTAAAGATAAACTTATAAAATTTTTTAAAAGTTATTTACTTGACAATATAATATTAGTTTAGTACTAAAGAGAAATTTTGGAAATATTTTTCGTAAAGGGCGTTGCAAATCTTGTTGTTTAGTACGAAAACGTTACAGTTTCACGAAACAATCCCTGATACAAGATACGATTATTTCGAAAAATGTCTTCGGAAAAAGAGTTTTGGGACAGTACTTTTTTCCTGGCTTATATTATAAATTATTCGTCTTCCTATTTGAATAATCGTATGACGTGAAAAAGAGAAGAATAAATTGGATATGGAAGAAAATAAAACAAAAATGTTGAGAATCGGAAAATGACGATCAAATCGTTTGATAAAAGATTGAAGCGAAGATTTGACAAGAGAAGAGGAACGTGTTTTGTGAAATCGATGATAATATAGCAGAACAAGTTATGTTAATTTCGAGGCTGGATGCAGTACCGAACGTACTTGCATACTATTCCAACTGTAGAATATGCTGAACGGTGGCGGGAACATTTAGTCAGAAATAGTATCTTTAGCCGTAAATAGAGATCACTTAGACAAGATTTTGTCGCACGCACGTTTCCCTGAACAAGGTAGTGCATTGCTCCTTAGTGTATGTCGCTCCTGCGAGTACGAGTGGGCGTTCTCGAAAGACGTCTACGCACGCGTTAATTTAAACGAACGAACTTGCAAACTTCGGATTCGAACTTTGCAAATTGCGTTTCGCTCGACACGAGCAAGTTATCGTCTAGGCGGGCGAAAATGTCTCGTCGGGCGTGCGATCGGCCTAGCGTTATCAACCGCCGTTACCAACTTTCCCGTCTTTCTTCCTGGAGGAGCCCTAGGAGTTATTAATGTGCATTTAGAGTAACGTAAAATCATGTAAGCGATCTCGCCATAAATGTGTCCCGTGTCGAGCCGCGAAACCGGGGACCGAGTTCGTTTTACTTCTCACCGACTCTCGCCGACCGTACACGTGCACCACCATATACCACACATTAACGTGTACCTGCTTTTCTTTACCACTCCGAAATCTTTTTCTCGTCACGCGACGCAATGTCCCGAAACGCAGAGTTCTCTATTTTTTGATTCGATTGTACTTAGACATCGTAGGTATATAGGGTGAGTCCTAGTGATAGACGTGTGAATGCAGAGCGTTACGTGAGCCTCGCGATGGAAAAGCACGCACGTTTCACGGGCGAAATGAGTTCTCCCACAACGGAATATTTAATTATAAGAATTACCATTACCGGCTGAAGTATAACGTTACAACGTATCTTTAAACAGAATCTTAAACTTAAACTTAAAATATATTGTATCGATATTCTATACGAAATTTCATATTTTACAGGACTTTAAGTCGCAAGATTTCAGAAATTCTGACAAGTAACAGCTCAGCCCAACATATCTGTCTATAAAATCCGCTTGTACGCACAATATTGACGTAGATATTTCACGGCAGCATGATAATTCTGTAAGCCACTAAACAGCTATTAAACTTATATAAGAAATTCACGAAATAGCTTCGCCGAAGGAACAGATGCAATCTGACACGCGTGCGTGTTAGGTCCGAACTTTTCACTTCCTCGAAGAGCGAAGTTTTCCTCGAGGTGCTGGCTCTGTTTCGAGACCGCGCAACACGCGATTCATTTCCAACGCGAGGAATTCCCAGGTTGCACCCTGCAAATGCACAAACGTTCATACGTCGTTCGAAGAATCCCTCTGTGTTTATAGCGTGATAAACCTTGGGACGATCTCTGATCTTCCGCTAACTTTCAGTAATCGCCCTCCAGAGGGCAAGAAAGAGGAAGGCTGCCCGCTCCGGCGATGTGAATCGCGGAGAAAGTGGAATAGGACAAATGTAGCTAAACATGTTCTTGGATATCGAGACGTCATGCGATATTCAGATTTCCTTGCTTTTTTGAACGTGAAACGTTGAAGTGAACATAATTTTTTTGGTCTAAAATACTTCATCTTAAAAAGTGATGAAAAACTTTGATAATTTGGTTAACAAATGTGCACGGTGCACCTTTAAAAATTATTTTTCTTACGGAAACGATATAGAATGACATACAAATTACTTATAAGAATTTTTATATCATAATTCCTTTTCACGCAGTGACAAATAGCAGTCACTATAATAAACATTTAGCTCTCCAAAAATTTAGGTCTCTTGCGAGGCATTTTATTGGGAACATTCGACGAATCTAACGGATATCTTGGGTATTTTTTAATAAACCTAAATGTCCGGAAGACCGACTTACTCTGGATATCCAAGAACGTTCATCGGATACCAGTGATGTATGGAGAAGCATCGTCTGAGAGACGTAGGACAAGAGGGAGACTTGGTACGCGGGGATTTTGGAACCCGCGATAAGAAAGTGAACGAGAAAGTCGCGTATATTTCGGTAGCCTCTATTACAGCGCGGTTAGAACAACCATGCGTACTCCTAAAAAATTCTTAGGCCTTAGATCGCGAATTTACGAGAACGTTTGTTGAATCCTAAAATGTCTATTATATATGAATGTTGATGTTGTCTGTGAACGCGCGGCGACAGATCGAAGATGAAAGAGAAGAGATTACCAAAGGGAAATTACCCGAACGATATGCAGAGAGATCTATTACATAGGTATAAATGTATGTGCATACACACGTGCATCTGTAAATATATATGTATGCGAAGATCATGTGTTCACGTACGCATATACATATATATGTGGGGATGCATATGCGTGTACGATGCGTGTTTAGGTAAGGAAAGGGAGAAAAAGTATATTTGAGATAGCTTCCGCCGAAAATAATATTTTCGTAGCTCACAGCGATATAATCCTGCACCCTGTTCTCCACTCAGCCATTCCTTCTCGTCCCCCCCTCCCCCTCCCCCTCTCCGACACGTCCGGGTAATTCGCGTGTTACGGGCTATACCCAGTTTAGCCATAACCGAATAATGTACCACTCGAGTCGAGTGTTTCCAGCACAGGTGATTGTCGAGAAGAGTTCTCGTTCTGTTCCGAACATATCACGCTTAAAATGTTCCCAACGATCCTTCTGCTCGCTGAAGGCGATCGTGACTGCTGCCGAGGCTGTCGCCGAGACTGCGCGCGTTTCGTGGTTGTGACAATCCTTATTTTTCTACTCTCTGTGTACTCTAGGTCGTAAGTCGTGTCGCGATGCCATTCGAGTGTAACGCGAGGGTCCGACACGCGACAATCGCCACGCCCGCGCGAGGATGAGAACGCCCGGACGTCGATTAATTAACGCAATTGATTGGATTCGAATTGTAGTGATCGCGAAATGCACCTGCAGTGATCGAGCTGGGTATAGCTCCGACTGACTTGTTCCCCATCCCCCCTCGAATCTACCCTAACGAGCCGCGACATGGAACCGCGACGGCCGGGACCCGGGAAGACGGGGACCGAACCTTCCCCCTCCGACAACCCGGACGTTTCCCGGTGCCTCGACGACGTTCCGCGATCTCACTCGTGCGAAAGACGTCCTGGATTTCACACGCTCGCAAGGTCAGCCTTATCTTTAAAGCTTAAACGAACGATCCTCTTCGGACTGCGCCTCCTAAACGCAGGAGATGGGCGAGATACCGCTCTCGCGGTGATGAAAAGAACCGGCATTATAATAATGATGAAAAACTGTTATAACCATGCTGCTGCTGCTGCTGATGATGATGATGATAATAATAATGTGATGAAGAAAAAATGTAAGGAGGAGAGTTTGTTTTCGCGAGTTGCCACAACCTCTCCGTTTCCGCGGTGCCGCGGAGCAGATCCTCCTTAATCCTCAACAGAATCGACACCCTGGCGGACGATACGAGGATACACTGGATTCACGATAGATCTCACACAGAGGAGAAGAGAGATCATTGGCCCCCCCTTTTGGTTCCTTTTCTGTTTTAGTTTGGCTGATTTCTTTTGGCCGACGTCGTAACGACGTATCCATCGCAGCTCGTTTCATTCTGAATTGACTTTGGTTAAAATTTACAACAACAAAAAGATAACATACTGTAATTGGTATTACACTGAACCCTTTCGGACGAACTGTATTTTGTTTTCCACAGAGATCTGCGTTGTGCAAAAATATTATTCGTGCGTACATTTGTTTTATAAACATTTATTTCAGAATGTAACTTTAATCGGAATTATGTAATTTTCATCTTATGGCTTTGCTAGCAACATGATAATTTCACGATCGCAGTTTAGAGATGGGATTATAGCAAATGCTTTTGCGCTCAAAGGACATTTTTCTTTGCTTATATTCGTCTCGTGGGGACGAAAATCAAGTTAAACCTATAGAAGAGTTAAATGGTGGATGTAAATTTGTTTGCGCAGGTTGACTACTCGCGGATGAGACGACTGCATTTTGCATTCCAAACGCAAAAATCTCAACATACGAGTCGAATATTGGTAAATCATTTTCGTCGCAAGTTTACATTTTCATTTTAATGACATCGCATCTTCAGACGACCAAATCATGTCGACGAAATTACCGGACATTCAAATTGTATTAATTTTTTTTATTACCAATTTGAATTACAACAACGACGAAGATAATCTCTGATCATATTATCATGATAATCATGACCAAAAAAAAAAGAAAAAAGAGAAAGAAAGAAAATTACATTCCTGTATTTTCCCGCAGCTCACAACGTCCGCGAATACGCTCCCCTCAGCCTTTCATATGTCCTCTCTTCGCTCAATGATCCCTTGTTCCGTGAAAAATAAAAAAAATGCACTATCTCACATCGATTCACATGCATCGATACTTGTCACGCGACACGAAAACAATCGATCATAATATCATAATCATCGTGCCACGCATTCCCACATTCTTTGCCTTATCTTCATATCACATAATGGAATAATCGCAGCTATAATTCTCGACTGCGGCAGTCGAGCTTACCACACGAAAGTGTTACATAGTCATCGATAAATTTCATCAACTTCGCGCTCGTCGTGTCATTAGTGTGGATCTTCGAGTCGCCACGGGATCATTATCTCTGTTCATCGGGTTCGTGCTCATCTCTTCGCAATCATCGAATCATGAATTAGTTGACGTAGGCGTACACATCCGCGCGAAAATCATCGCACGAGATAGATCGCTCGGTAGCTCTCACGATGATCATCATCGTTTCTCTTCGAGTCGTGCAACTCGCATGGGAACTTAGGTCCAGCATGTTGCATGCGTCGTTAGGAGTTTACGTGGTTGTAGTGTACGTCATCGCAGAGCAGCCGTTCATTATCGCTCACGTCGTCATCGTCGTCATCCTCATCATCGACATTCGGCGAGCTTGCTCGTCAAGGCTCCTCGCGACCTTTGTCCATTCGTTAATCGAGGGATCGTAGATTTATGGGAATTGATCTCTTTAATTAATCTTACATTATAAATTATATTGTAAACGACTTTTCGAGCAAAATTATCAAAGTACCCTTTTATACACGTTAAAAGTATCAATTTAGACAGTTCCTCGCCAATATAATCGATTAAGAGAGGACTAGTTGCGAGAAGCTGCCGCAAGCTCGCTCGTCCAGCACCGCTTTGATCGTCGTCGAACGATCGTCTTAAGCTCTCCCGGCGAGATTGCGCGTCATCGATTTCCCGTCTCATCTGTTCGCTCGCGGTGTCGTGATTCTTTCGATCATCAAGGATCATCGTTGATTGCGCGAGGACTTAAAAAAAACAAAACAAAGGTGGCCGCGCCGAGAGAGCGCGCCGTTCTAACGCGAGATGGGTCGCGCGGTGAAACGCGCGACTCGCCTCGCACTCGCCATCGGCAAGTATACGAAATTGCCCGCCGTCATTGTTTCGTAAACCCTCTCTTGCGTTATCTCCTTTATTTCTCCATCGCCCCCTTGTCTGTAGAGACCGTTGATGTCGCAATTAGAGAGACGCATGCCGCTCCTCTTATTACCAAATTCTTTGACACCCCGCCGGCCACGCTCTCGAGGCGCTATATGCATGCTGCACGCGCGCGCAGAGAGTTTGCATCTGTCATCTAGCTCTGTTCGTCCCGTTCGGCGAATAAGACATACGTGGACGTCAGGATGACGATCGTCGTCCACGAAGGTCCACGAACGTCGGATTACCTATCGGGAGAACGAATTCGGCATTTCGTCCACGAGAAAGACGGAGAGGATCATTTAGCTTATCTACGAATTCTGTCGCGTGGTCAGAAAGATTTCCTTGGTCAAAACATGTACCTTTTGTCCTCCACGGGTGTAGTTTACATTTAACATGTTCTTAGGGCCTGTCTCGAGAATATTTGGAGGCCCGGGGAAACTACGATCTATAAATTCAACGTGATAAGAAAATGTGATGCAAATGTAGTCTTAATTGGTTGCTGTAGAAATGCAAGAAAGTTTAACACTATTATAGAATTAAGATGAAAATTGTTCTTGCAGAAAGAATCATCATTGGCGGTATCCGTATTATTATTTACGAGCTTTAGATTTGGTTCGCGTTATAAATTTGAGATAGGTCCTGGGTTGGTGAATGACCTTCTCTCATTTCGTGCATCGATAATTGAGGGACATTAATTGACAATGAAACTGACGTAGATTGATATCACGCGCCTCTCTGATGCAAGTCTACTTTTATCATTATCGAATATAAATGGAAAAGAGGCCAAATCACGAATTTAATTTCATGATTCGTAGATAAAATAAATGTTACCTCATGCCCGATAGAGCTTAAGGTATAACTAATCACTTAAGATAGAGCTAAGTTAGCGATAAGTCAGCAATGGATGGCAGTCCCCAATTCCGCAGAACTCTTCTGACTGTCGAGTGAATTTGATAGTAAATGTTACAATTCTAAACCATATTGCCAAAGTTTCTCAAATCATTAAATACAGATTTCAAAACTGACAACAAGATAAAACGTGAACAAGTTCGCAAGTCTGCTATTAATTAAGCCACGAGCGTATTAATTTATAATATGAACATGTCCTAAAACCTCCGATCTTAATTTTAACAACAGATTCGACTAATTCGAGGCTAATTTTTCTTAAATTGAAACGAGTCATGTAATATTGATAAGACAAAAAAAACGAAAAGTTCTTCTCGAAATATAAATTTACAAAATTTATATAATTAAAATGCGTGGTCCATTAACATTCAAGCGAGTTTAGCTGTTTCAAGGAGTTGTTAAATAAATATTACAAGACTGTAACGAAAGTGTACTACGTATTTGCAGCGAAATGTTCCCCCGAATAAAAAATTGACTCCGAATTCGCCGAGGAGTCTGTCATTATAATTAAGGTCGTAGATTCCGGGACATCTAAGATATAAGGACATAAAACGGGCGGACGTTTCGTTCGGAAGAGGGACGGCGGAGTTGGACGGCCTTCGTGGTGAGCGAAGCATTATTAAACGTGGTGCCCCAATATTCTAGCTTACTGAGGAGGTAAGGAAATTCTTCACCCGCCCAAGAAGCTCTTCCGAGCCACCATCATCATCACCACCACCACCCTTCCCTCTCCGTTTCCATCTACATGATTACCGTATTACGTAACGGAGTGTTTCGATGTATAACGTAGCCACTGTACTTGTTACTTGTTACCACTGTATATCTTTCTGTCTCTGTCTCTTTCTCAAACTCTATCTTCCTACTGGCGTGAATCGTTGACCGACTGTCTCGCAATCATCATTTCACGCATCTCACGTAAAAAAAAAAGATAAAAAAGAAAACTACACACCGGTCTCTTAGATAATGATTTCTTAGAGGAAGACCGCCATTCTCCCAGACTCACATCAGTCAAATTCATCCATTCCACATCGGTCGGAAGAGCGAAAGGAACGAATGACCTTCGTTCACCTCCGTCCCATCATTCGACAGTATCGTCGTGTGCGTGTGCGTGCGTGTGTGCGACCTAGTGACACCGTAGATAATCATCGTAGAGATCATCGTCGCCGGAGCGACGGAGCGCGCGGGCCCTTCGTCACTTCGTCGACTTTGAGGATCGATGGCGGGGCGATATTGCCGCCGTCGTGGATGCCGTGATAGCCGCTGTCGATTAAATCGACAGCCGACAGCTGGACGGGAGCGAGTTCGCGTCTTGAATTTCCCCTCTCAAATGCAGACGCAGATTTCTCGAACATTTTCGCATTTGAGAAGGGAAATGTGGTAAGGATCCGCTCCGGTTCTCGTCCGGTGTCTTGACTAGATGAGACGCATGACAGAGGTCCTCTTTTCTTGCTACGTGCGAATCAGACGATTCCTATAGTTAATTGAGATACTTTCTTACATCTAAAATTATCCTCGTACAAGACAAAGGAATTATCGTATTCTAAACTGCGTATATTATTAGAGTATATATTATATTAGTGGAGACTGCACGATAATACGTAGCAGTAGTATTATTTATTGCAAAGATAAAACTCCGAAGAGACATTTTTAGAACGCAAGTTTCGCTTGCTTACTTAGAAATCCAAACGAGAGAATTGAAGTAAGAAAATTATCCCCATTCATAAGTTAATTATTTTCTAATTACGAGCTAACGTTTTTTTTTCTTTTGGCACGAAGTCGAAGCTCTAGAGTTACGTAATTCCCAGGGAGGACCTCGTGGTAATCGCGCTCTCGCTCGCGTTATGTAGTGACGTTTACGTTTACGTAGTGATTAGCCAGTAGCAGCTATGTTGCGTTTATTATGATTCTGCTTTGAGATCGCCGCGAGATCTCGCGTTCTGGCGATATGTCGCGACGAGCCTCTTCACGCGGCCTGCCGGCAACACCAAAGTAGACGAGCGTAGGTACGTACACGAAAATAAAAAGAGACATATCGACGTGACGGGTCCCGAACACCTCTACCCTCCCCTGTGCGTGCGCGTGAAATTATGCCTCTCTGTGTCGTATGTCTCCACCACACTTCGCTGTGTGTGTACACGTGTGTGCATATATATATTTACTTATATACGAATGTGCATAATCCACACGTATGAATAAATACATATATATGTGCATTTTTTTTACACCTCCCAAAAAGGAAACACTGTTCGTAACTTTGTACCGCTGGCCTCGATTATTCGCTGCATGCTCCGTGCAAATCCTATCCGAGTACGACGACGACGTCTCTTTCTTCCCCCCCGATTTTTTTATTTGGATTCTCTCAATAACTGTCACGCTAAGAAAAAATACATGTATGATTGTGGAACAGTCAGTTCGGTCAATCTCGACGGCTTAACTAACTCGGCCCGAGATCACATCCCTCTTTAGATCATAGTTCTAGCTGTCGTAGATAGAAGGGGAAGTTAGTTAACCGCGGCTAACATGGCAATTAACGGTGCAGTTTAAAGTTTAAAAATTCGCTAATAAGTCTGTAAATGAACGAGCTGAAAATTCAAGAGATCAGTTCTTAAATTTAGGTTCGACCGAAACTGGCTCGCACACGTAGCTTTTTGCTTGACTCCCTAATTAGGTCGTGATCGTAATAGCTCGAATATCAGCCTCCTTCGTTAATCCGCTCAGGAATTAAGAAAGGCGCATAAGCGAACTAAAAATCGCGGTGGAATCAGAGCGGGATGACAATGCGACTTGATTTTTAATCCCCGACGTGGAAACCTTTGGCAGGGTCGCGCCGCGTCGACGTAATTTTAATTAAAGTAATCTCGATCTTTTTGAAGGCTCGTGTCAAAGTCCAACGGCAATTAAGTAACTTCGTGGTTATATCCCGCAAGGCTGTTCGCGCGGAAACCAATTTCGCGCGCAATTTGGATCAGGAATAATTAAAGATATGCGGCACGATGCAGGCGCGCAAAGCCTATTATGCAAGAAACGTAAAGACCATGTTTTCCAAGGTTATCGTTATATCTTCGCAAATATCGGGGAGCGTTACACTAATTCAAGAATTAATTACGATAGATTTGTAATTTTTTTTTCAGTTAAAAACCTGTCTCAAAAGTAAAGGACTTAATAAATAGAAGATATTTAAATCGTGATCACGCCAACAAAGTATAAACTACGGCCGTTTCGACAATGTTTTTGCCTTGAAAGTTCGCTACTGTCGATTGTGTTAGAATCCAAACGAGCCCACAACCACGGTTTCGCGTAAAAAAACAAGACATTTCTACGCATCTTTCTCGAGTATTTTATCACACCGTTATCATCGTCGTCGTACTCGGTCATGGCGAAGAGCCGACAGGCGGTATCAATGCCTCCGTTGCTCGTCGCCATCGTCGTTACGTCGTCTGTTGTTGTCGTCGTCATCGTCGCCGACACGGACAGAGCACAGGGTCTGATCCTCGCCTGGACGACGAATCTTTTCGCAGCTGGACGAGCTCCGGACGGAGGTACAGCGACGGGACCAGGAGCTGTTGGCAATGTCGGCGAAAATGAAGACACTCGAAGAGCAACATCAGGATTACCAGAGGCACATCGCCGTGCTCAAGGAGTCTCTCTGCGCCAAGGAGGAACACTATAATATGCTACAGGCCGATGTAAGTGTGACTTTGATCTTTTTCCGATTTATTTGAAAAATGTAGTTAAAGTTATGTATTATTTTTCATATAATTAAATTGCGTGATTTATTTTGCAAAAAAAGGACTTGAAAATGCATTTAACAAATAATGATAGTCTTATTAAGAGAGTAATTTTCTTTCAACTATAGGTAACTGTGTATATTTAATTATGCTGTTGTAGTTCAATTGGGATTTTGTACGCTTGGAAATTTGAGTTTAGAAGAAATTTGTTATTATTGCGTCAATCATTATTGCTTTTAAAGGCAAAAAGTTTCTCCGCACTACGAAAGTTTTTAATGTATGAGAATTTACAGGGATAGGAATTTGCCAAGTATATTTTCGGTAAACAAGTTTACCAGCGGTTTTGTTATTCACACCAATGCGAAACTGGAGCGCAACCGAGACTCGAAATCGATACCAAATTTCTGACCGCACCTCTCAAATTCGGATATTTATCGAATAAGTTCTCTAGCCTGTGGTTGCAACAAAATTTCGTAACTATCCTAATACTGTTATCCGGAAATTCCCGTGGAAGATCGTTATCTGATGTTAAGAAATCGCTGGTTTAATTTTTCCAGCCTTTGCATGGCCCTTTAAAGTTCATAAAATCCTGAACACGCGCGGAGATTTGAGAATTTCTTCAAAAGTCTGACGTTGAGTAAAACTAGGACAAAGCTGCGAAATCGAATTTAAACGAAGTGATCTGAAATGTTGACCCAACTCACGCAAACCCCATGAATTCTAAAACGATCATTGACGCGAGAAAAATCCTTGATGCAAACTTTGCCCCAATCTAAACTTATCCCCGTTTTCAATTCGTAAAGTAAATTCTTGATTTTCGATGTTCCAGCATCTTACAAGATATAGTCTTTTGGTTGTAAGATGCTTAAAATTACGAAGAGAAGAAATAAAATCTTCGAGTTTCAAATTCTCGGGGAATCTCATAGTTTTAACATTAGATTTATTGTTAGTTAAAAAGTGAGAAAAATTGAGAAATATCCAACGAGAGATGAGTAATAGAAAATCCGTTTTTTATTCTGAATCCTGTTCTTATTTTGTCTTTTACATCGTAATGTTGACTGCTGATCACCGTGCAGAGAAGATATCAAAAAGACCCTCTTCAAGTAAACCGTTTAAGGCGAGCTGCACAAAGGGAGAGAAGAGAGTACAATTATTAGCTCCTTAAATCTTGGAAAGAGCCCTTCGAGAAGGGATTTCCAAATGAGTTAAGTAATCGGCGACACGCGACTGCGATCACAGCCGTTTGATAAATCGGCCCGACAACTCGGGAGTGAAGTTAAACTATGGCAAATCGCGTGTCTCCGGAAAAAGCCACCGACGAAGAGAGGAAAGCCGGGCCGTAGCGGAGAGAACTGGGTCGAGCTTCTCTTCTCTCCTTCCTTCCTTTCTTCCTCGCTAATGTCGCATCTAGTCACGTGTACGTGCGTAGTACGTATTGCGCGTTAAATGTCCTGAATTTGGACTCGCCTGAAGACTTCTCACGTCGGTGAGCCCTCGGCGACATCCTCTTTTTATCGTGGCTCCGCACCGAAATGTACAGGTCGAGGAGATGCGGCAGCGGCTCGAGGAGAAGAACCGGATGATCGAGAAGAAAACGCAGGCGGCGATGCAGGCGCAACAGGAGCGCAATCGTATCAACACCGAGCTGACCGAGATCAAGGATCACATGGACATCAAGGATCGCAAGATCAACGTTCTGCAGCGCAAGGTGAGTCCTCTTTCTCTCTCTCTCTCTTATTTATTTCACTTTCTGTTTTCTCGAGACACAGTCGAAGGGCTTCATTCACTTTCGCTCCATCGTCATGTATTCTCAGCCATTCTCGTCTACTCTCTACATTTTAATCATTTTTTTCGCGGACTCGTTCTCGTAACGTTTGCATTCGTCAAGAGCCTGTACTCTTCGTGCGAAGAATCACCTCGTTGCAATTCATAACTCGGAACGGGCGAGTATTATTCGAGAAGGCTGCCGGTTTGAGGCAGATAACTTCCGCGAAATGAATTTCCTTATCGCGCGCGCCTCGGCGTTTAGTTCATCTGAGGAGAGATGCAAATGCAAAAGCGGGCGAGTCCGGCAGAATGCCTTTCCCTTATCGCACAGAGTCAGTTAGCGCTCAGGAAAATATTTGCTAGTACAGATTGTTCCGATGAAATTAATTGTCATTTTAAGGAAAAGTGTTGCAAGACGAGCCGCGAAGGGAAGCTCTTCATTGTCGTGTATCTTTTTTCCCCGCAATCTTCCTCTAAAACCATAGAACTCTTATTATCCTTGCAACGTGTTTTTGCATAATAGATACCGTCATTACCTGATTTCCGCATGCAAAGTGAAATCCGGGCTAAAAATAACGAGAAATAAAATAATGAGTTGTTTTTGCTCTGAAAATTATTTAAAAAAAAAAATTCTTTACCCTCCGGAAGAAACGACTCAAGAAACAATGCGAAATTCACAAGTGACGCATAAATATCGCCGTAATACAATATGTTGACGACTCTTCTCATATCCCGACATAAAGTTTACATATTGACGATAAAGATAATGAAATAATAGATAGTTAAATGATATATAAATATAACACGCAGCTCATGAACGCATTGATACTTCGTATTGACAGAGCGATGTCTACTATATTTCAATGTACGATAATAACGTGGGGCGAAAGGGTTGAATCAGCAGGGGGGTTGTATAATACGTCCCGCGTCCCATGCAGCGGCAGAATGGAGTGCGCATGAGTGCGAGTATGAAATTCAATCAATCGCCTCGTGAATTGCAATCGGCTCTTTGAGAAAATTCCGGGAGCTGATCCCGCGAGGGGTGACGTACGTGCTGACATTGCGAAACGTAAAACTCGGTATCGATCGCACGTGCAACGGCCGTAATCCTAAGGCGAGAATTGCGATTGTCCCGTCGTCTAATACATTTTTCACGTCACCCCCGACGACACCGATTTAGGCGTAATGGATTTGCGACTGCATTTAATTTTCAACGATCTGCGTCGCAAGTGTAACATAAAGCGAGGGGGAATCGTATATCGCGCGCGAGAAGAAGATAATGAAAATGGGACGTGTACGGAGTCACGCTTTGCAGCTCAAGCCGACAACTCGAGGTCTGTAATTTTCGTAAGATTTCTGTATAAAAAAAAAGGCACCGACGGTAAACGCCGTGATAAAAATGTGCCACAGTTATCTTCCGGCTCTTTGTCCACGACGGTGATTTTGAGCGCGCTTTGACGGTGTCTTCGCCTTTGATTACTGCTCCATCAGCTTCGTGAACACGACAAAGGTCTTCCCTCTACTCCTCGCGTTCGACGGGACAGATGCGAGACCACCTGGGATTAGAGGCGTGCATCGTGTAGTCGCGCAAAGTACTGAGCACTAATTGTCGCAGCGGCTGAAAAAGCAGACGTATCGGTGCATCCCCCGTGATGTTACAACGCGAGAAAGGGAGAATGCGCATGAGTGTCAGTGGGTTCGGCTGTCGATTAGAACGACGATATGATGTATGTGTGTGTGCGTGTGTTGCGCGCGCGCGCGTGGTTTGTGTGTGTGTGTGTGTGTATGTATGTATGTATGTGTGTGTATGCGCGCACACTCGCCTTTGTATGACGTTTCTTGCAATGTTTTTGCGTTTGCCAGTCGATGTACAGTAGTCGCGGACGTAAATGCAGTTTGCGAAGACGCTACGTTGAGTTGCGCTGCATTTGAGTCCGCAGCAGCACACGTCTCGTTCTTGTTAATTCACGTCTCCCTTTACATTACGTTTCGTGGGCGATAAAGTGTCGTTTGCAGAACTTATGTTAACGTTTCTGCCTTATTTTTCGTCATCGTTGTCATACGATCGCGCACTCGATACTTACACGTAGAGCTTTTTCTCTATCGCACTCGGCATGCAAGATCCGTAGAGAAGCAAGAAGGTAAATTTATTCGGCGGCTTAATTTGCATTATTTTTGTCCATTATTTAATTTTTATAATTGGTACGTGTGCTTGTATTCCCACGTGAATACGGAATTAATGTTAATTATTTTGCGCTGATCATGTCTGTATTATGTACAAAAGATTATGTTAATTTGTAAAATATAAAATATCACATTCCCCTCCATTCTTAATTTTATTATTATTTGCTCGATAGATAATTGTAAGTAGATTATCTTATTGTTATACGCTATCGTTTAATTTACGTGGTGTTACATTATATTTCAGCGTAATTTATGTTAATTTCTACATGTAACATTTAATTTGCACATCACCAGTGCCATTATTAAGCGTCATATTTTCATTACGTTATGTTATGCTATTCATAGAATCTATTATTTGCTTTGACACAAGCACCGTATTTATTTTTACATTAGCGTGCCTGTCGTGACGATGATGTCTGAGTATGATTATGTGAGTAAAAGAAGACCGACAAAAGTGCGTTGGCAGGTAGGTGATCACGTGAATTTATGATAATTAACAATTTCATATTGATATCTCTTGGGACTTCATTAGCGACACAATGTCTGACCGCCAGATTTATGATTCGCGTGAAGATCACGTGAAGAGTTTAATTTCCCAAATGTAACGTAATCTCGATGTGTACTAATTTATCTCTCCATGCCCTCCTCGCCCTACATCTCTTTACAAAATATATAATAATTTAGTAAACCGAGCAAACTATGCTAACATTAACGTGACATTTAATACGTAAAGTAAGATTTTCCGTAACATCGGACGTTGGTTTCGTAATTGTATGAGTTTCAAGACTGAATTAAAAGGGGGAAAAAGAAATCTTCTGAATGATTTAAATAAAAAGAGAAATTGTTTCTTTGGAGATGAAAAGCTAATATTCTCGTTTCTATATTAACAAATTGTTTAACGGGCAAATTAATGCTCGCCTTTCTGAACTTATGGCTGAGTCTGCTGTTGATTTTAGATCGAGAATCTAGAGGACCTGCTGAAGGAAAAAGACAATCAGGTCGATATGGCTAGGGCCAGGCTGACGGCGATGCAGGCGCATCATTGCAGCAGCGAAGGTGCACTTAGCAGCCTCGAGGAGGCGATCGGGGATAAAGAGAAGCAAATGGCACAATTACGCGAGCAAAGGGATCGAGCTGAGCAGGAGAAGCAGGAGGAGAGGGAATTGCACGAGAGGGAGATCGCCGAATACAAAATGAAGTTACATACCTTGGAGTCCGAGGTGAGCGAGGCTGGGTGGAAAAAGTTTCTTCTTTAATTCCTCATCCCCGACCTGTGCGCATGCTATTAACATAAAGTGAATAACTAATTCTTTTGTCTGTTAAGCGTTTTTTTAAAGGTAGACTAAATAATAAGATACTATATGTAATGAACGAATAAATGCACATTTATCCAACGAAAATATCTCAAGATGAAAATGCAACGAAATTCTAACTTTCTCAAACATTTTTTTAGAATCATTTATTTCGATCGAACTTATAGTAATTTGCAATACACGTGCAATTATTCTTATATTTGTCACACATTACATTTAATTCTGCCAAAGCATTAACAGACGCTTTTACATCTTTTCCTTTTATGTACGAAACTCTAGGTCGAGAAATTGGGCGCACGTTTGGAGCGAGCGCAGGCGGAGAAGGACCGGCTGGAGGCGAAGCTCGAGAGCTCACAATCCGAACTCGGTAAGAGCAAGGCTGAGCTGGACAAGGCCGCCTCCGAGGTCGGACGTAGCGGCGCGGACTGGGAGGCGGCGAAGCAGCGGCTGGCCAGGTTGGAACTGGAGAACGAGAGGCTGCGGCATGACATAGAGCGGTCGCAGGGATACGGCAGAAGCACACTGAACTCGTCCCAGGAGATGGAGCGCGTTCAGGAACGGGCCGACAAAACGGCCGGTGAACTAAGGAGGGCCCAGGCCGAGCTGAGGGTCACGCAAGCGGACAATGAGAGAGCACGTGCCGAGGCCGCAACCCTCCAAGAAAAGGTATGTCTTCCTTATTTTGTCATGGTACATCTGCGATCCCGTACACGAACTTTAATAACCGAGTTGCAATCTGAATTGTGCGTTATTGCTAATAAATTTATTTCAAAAATCCTCTGCGGCTCTTCTTACTCGCAGACTGTCGAGTTCGATTTGCCGCAGTTTGCTAAATGGATTCCAACCATGTAATTTTTCAACTGAGGCTGTTCTACTGTATTTTAACGTTGCCCATCTGTACTTTAGCAGATTGGTATATTACATTTCAGAATCGTTATTTAAGGAGCTGCGAAAGTATTGCCTGTCCTAAATCGCGCGAAAGAACTGAAGCTCCGTTTTGGAACATTTCGCTCTCGCGACGACTTAAAATACCTCGTCTTCTTCGGCATCTTTCTAGCGGGAGCGCTATTTATACATCAATTACAGACCTGTCGATTGATCGGCACAGAAGTAACCTGGACTACTTCGCTGGAGTATACGACCTATGTATACACGTCGCTACACTCGGCGATCTATTAATGGACGAAGGTCCGTTTCGGACTGCGACTCGGCAGTTCCATTTGGACGAGCACTTTCCAAGGATCGTGCTCGAGTCGGTCGCGTATCTTCGCGGACAATCAATTTTAATCGCAATCGATTTGAACGCGTTCTTAGCATCCACCTGGAAGGTTCCTCCTCGTCCTCGTCCCGTTTCTCCTGGACCTTCCACTCCTTCATCCTCTCTCGTCCCTGCTCTCCCGCTGTGCTACCAACATCTTTGCCCGCGCAATAGGATCCAATTTCCAATCACGCCTTCGTCCTGCACCCGGCGTCTGCAACCGGCAGCAAAGTAACGATCCCGCCACCTAAGTGACTGGAAAATTACTCGCGTGCATTACCATATCGCCCGTTTCCGAAGGCACATGGCTAAACGGTGTACTTAAGTTCGCATTTACCCGGCTTTGAGGTTGCTCCGCGCGGAGACAAGTTAACGAAAGAAAATAAAGGGCCGTAGGAACGAATAAATCTTCCCAGCGCGGAAAGTCGCGTTAATGTTCGGTCCCGTGTTACAAGTAATTTAAATTCTTCGTAATTGAGAAGTTTACTCTGTAAAGCGTACAAGTGAAGAAAGTATTTCTCAACGATGTTGAAAGTATGCATAAACTCACATCATTTCTACAATGTGCTATAGCTCAGCACTCATCGTCATAAAAATGAATTTTTTTACTCGTGAGATTTTTATCGCACCTGTATAATATTTTTTAAGGATTCTCAACGAAACAGCGGAACTAGAGAAATGATCATCGCAGTAACTGTAGGAAAGCAATTAAAATTTGCGTATAGTCTGAAATTAAATCGACTGGATTTACAAGGCATCAGCGAAATTGTTTTCTTTTCAAGGTGGAGAAGAGTCAGGGCGAGGTGTACAGGCTCAAGGCTAGGCTAGAGAATGCTCAAGGCGAACAGGAGAGTTTGCGGGAAGAGTATGACCGAGCACAGGCGTCCGTGGCCCGTCTTCATTCCGAGAGGGATAAGGCGGTTAGCGAGCTCGAAAAGTCGCAAGAGGAACTCGAGCGCACGCAAGCTACCCTCGGCAAGGCGCAACTTCAGCAAGACAAGCTGCAGAATTTATTGGACAAGACACAGAGCGAGGTCGACAAGCTGCAGGAGAGGCTCGAAAAAACGCAGACGGAAGTTCGTAGAGTGAGTAATCTCGTAAAAAATCAAAAGTATCGCTTAGGGTTTATTGTTATGTGTCTTTATTGTCTGTAAAAACGTATGCATTTTATGTTCTGAATTGTTTAACGTACGTAAATAAATTGTGAAATAAATGATATAAATTTTAAGTGTTACTGCCATTAATTTATATATGTGTGTTATATTCATTGATTTATTAAAATTTAACATATGATGCGCAATAATTGTTACAGATGCAAATGGAGAAAGAAAAACAGAACTACGACTTCGATAATCTACAGAGCCAGCTTGACAAAGCGTTAGGACAGTCGACGAGAATGCAGAAAGAGCGCGAGGCGATTCAACTTGATGTGGATCGACTGCAGGACAAATACGAGAAAGCTCAGGTGAGCACAATTAGCCAAAAGCAATCAATTGACTGTAAGATTTAAGTTTAATAATGATTCGATAACTTGCGTGTCATGGTCGTTCCTCAGGTCATAATGCAGCGACTGCAGAAGGAACGAGATAGCTTCCAGGAAGAGATGGAGAAGATGCACGAGAGGATAGAATTCCAGCAAAATCAGATGGCCAAGGTGCAACGCGAGAAGGAGAATGTACTCTCAGAACTCGATTTGGTGAAGGAAAGGTGGGAGAAGGTGCACAATGCTCATCAGAAATTAACGGTGAGTTGGATTAGCTGTTTTAGCAGCATGATAATGAGTGATAACGTCTTTTAACATTTATTATAAGCCTGTTCAAGATATTCGTCATATAACGAAGCAACATTCCATTTTATCAGCCGACATTGATGTTATTCTAAGAAAAGATTATGTTAGAAGAAGATTAAAATTTTCTTTCTTCCATGATTTTTCGCAATTGCGACGAAACAGTTGGAGCGAGACGACGCAGTGACTGAAATCCAAATCCTAAAGGAAAAATTGGAGAAGGCGCAGTACTCTATGAACAAGGCTCACGAGGAACGAGAGAACACCGCCAAGGAATTTGAAAAGATGTTGGAAAAATATGATAGGTATATGATCGGATGTTTAAATTACAAAAACTCAATCATTTCGAGTATATTAACTTGACGCGATTTAATAATTGATTTACACGTTGAACACAATAATATTATAATACAAAGAGTAAAGATGTTATGTAAAATATTTATGTAAGCAAATTATTGTGAAGAAAACAAAGAGTAAATGTCTGATTGCAACGTGACAGGTCGCAGAGTGAGGTGTACCGCCTGCAGAATCGTATCGACGTGATGGAGGCGGACAAGGATCGGCTCGAGCTGGAGACGGAGAAGCAACAGATGTTGGCGACCAAGTCGCGCGAGGAGGCGCGCAAGGCACAGGAGGAGCTGGCCCGGGTGCAGGAACTGTACGATCGCGCAGCGTTGCAGCTCGGTCGCACGAAAGAGCACGAGGAGAAATCCAAGGAGAATATTGATCGGCTGAGCGTCGATTTAGAGATGGTGCGCGAGCGCTATGAGAAGTCGCAGATCGAGCTGCGACGACTGCAGAACGAGCGCGAGAAGCTGGTGGCTGATAACGAGCGCATCAGCTTCGAGCTCGAGCGGGCGCATTCGCAGCTCAACAAGGCACAGGCGGCAACGGAGAAGACGCAGGAGGAGCTTGCGCGTATGCAACTTGAAATCGAGAAGATGTACGAGAAGCACGATCGTCAGCAGGCGGAGGTGAGGAAGTCGCAGGGTGAAGCGGAACGGCTGCGCGCTGAGGCGGAGAGCTCGCGCGAGGAGGTCGAGAGGTATGCGACACGTTTCGGCAAGTACCAGGAGAGCCAGGAACGACAGAAGGAGGAGCACGAGTGGGCGAAGCTAGAAGTGGAGCGACTACGCGACCGTCTGGAGAAGGCGCTGGCGGAGCTTGAGCGCGCGCGGAAAGCTGAGCAGGACGCCTCGAGGCTGCGCGCCGATCTGGAACGTGCGGAGGGCGTGCGAGGTAAATACCAGTACGAGCAGGAGAAATGGCAGAGCGAGGGTAGTAGGCTACAACAGGAGGTGGACAAGTTACGCGAGCGGTTGGAAAGCCGCGAGACCGAGCTGAAGAGAACGCAGTCGAACCACGCCGAGCTCGAGGCGAAGCTGCATGAGGCGCAGCTTCAGCTCGAGCGGGCGCGCGATGAGACGGGCAAGGCTACAGCACTGCAGGAACGCAATCGTTCGGAGATCGAGCGTGCACGGATCGAGGCCGAGAAGATACGCGACCGGCACGACAAGGTGAAGATGCGGTCCGACGCGCTCGAAGCGGACAACGAGAAGCTGCGCGTCGAAATCGTGCGGCTGGAGCGACTGATGCAGACCGAGGGTAAGACGAGATCCGAGAGCGCGAGTATCGAGGTGGAGCGTTTACGGGCCAGCCTGGACAAGGCGATCGTGGCGCGTGATCAGGTTGAGCTTGAGGCCGGCAGACTCGCCAAGGAACTCGAAAAGGCGCATCTGCAGACCGCCAAGTATCAGGAGGCCACCGATGCCACTAAGAAAGAGCTCGAGCGTCTCGCCGCGGATGTGCAGCTACTGCGGGACGAACGCGAAGCGCTGCGCCAGGAGATGCGCCGCGTGCAGCAGCAGCAACAGCAGCAGCAACAGCAGCAGCAGCAGCAGCAGCAACAACAACAGCTGGCCGGCAATGAGGAAATTGCTCGGATGCAGTACGAGTTGCAATTGGCGCAACGCGAACGCGATAAGATGGCAGCAATTTTGGAGAATCGGGAGAAGCATTCGGAGAAGATGAAGGAGAAGTGGGAGGCGGATGCGAAGCAGTTGCAGGTGGAGCGCGACCAGCTGGTTATACAGCTGGAAAAATCGCAGGAAATGCTGGTCAACTTCCAGCAGGAGCTTAGCGCGAACGAGGCCGAGCTTGAGCGTCAGCGCGAGGAGGCCCGTCGTCTTCAACAGCGGGCCCACGCACAGACGCCCGACCGCGCTGCCAAGGAGGCGCTTGATGCACAAATGCGCGAGGTGCAACGGCTGCAGCAGCAGGTGCAGAACATGCAGCAGACGCAGCAGAAAGAGCGGCAGCGCGCCGAGCAGGCGGAGAAACGGGTGCAAGAGTTGCAGAAGCAGCTGACGTCGCGCGGCGTCGAGACGGCCCAGACCGACGCGGCCCAGCTCGAGCAATGGCGGAAGCTATGCGAGACGGAGCGGCAGCGGGCGGACACAGCCGAGCGCGAAGCTGGCGACCTGCAGAAGCGGATACAGACGACGGAACGGCAGCTGCACGCGCATCAGCAGCAGATTCAACAGATGCAAGTCACCATGCAGCAACAGCAGCAGCAGCTGCAGCAACAGCAGCAACAGCAGCCCTCACAGCAGAACGGCCAGGAGGTCGCCAGGCTGAGAAAGGAGTTGGAACGCGCGCACGAGGAGATTAAGCAGGCGACCGTGGAACGCGAGCGGTTCCAGGGACAGCTCGAGATGCTGTGCCAGGAATTGGAGAAGAATCAGGTTAGCGGCCGCATGGGTGCCGACGCACGTGTCGGCCCCACGCCGTGCTCGCTCGCGCTGCTGACGACAGCTCACAATCCAGCCATTCACACCACCAATCATCACCATACGCACCATCACTATCTCCACCAATACCTCAACTGTCACCACCACTATCCCGCGCACTCTGTTCGAATTCTATAAAAAAAGAAATATCATCCCCCGATGTGCAGTCGAGTCGAAAAAGCAGAACGATAAATCTCGTCTCTTCTTCTTCTTCTTCCTCTTCTTCTTCTCCGAAGACAGACGCGCCCAATAGACTTACACACGCCGCCAGAAAAAAAATATATATAACGAACAAACATATGTATGTGTGTAAAAATGCGTGATTCGGGACCAGCCAGACACGCTGCACCATTTACTCGTGTACATCTCTTTTATCTTACGTTATACATGTGCGCAAGCAGACATTCGCAGCACAGTGCAACGTCCCTTCGACAGAAGATCATCAGTCCTTCCGACGACGATCTTTTTCCTTCTTCAATCCCTTTCTTCCCGATGTTATTTCCAAGCACTGCCATTTGTCGCTCATTGCTATCAGAATATGTTCAAAGTTTTCATTGTTATGATTATTACTGTCTTTGTTGTTTCTTACCGTCATTGTTACTGTTATTGTTATTATTATTATTATTGTCAGCATTAATTATTATTAATTATTATTATCGTGGTTGTTGTATCTTTAGTTACCCTCCGGCAATGATTATTATTGTTATACGATGAAGAAAGCGAGCGCGAGAAGTAAAGAACAAACGATAGACACTGAGCATAGAGATGGAATGATAAATAAGTGAATAAAAAAACTAAAATATTTGATTGTCGCTCGCTCGCTTTCTCTCCTTTTTTTCCAATTATTACTACATTTAATCATATTATTACGACTGCGCTTATGTCGCGTATTAAACATGGCAGCAAGAAAGTACTCGTAAAAATATTTATGTTGTAAAGCATGCACTGCATCGATGAGACGAGGAAGTATCGCTTTAAAACTTGGCGATTTCTTTTTATTTCTGGAATATAGATATTTCTTGGAACCATGCAAGGACGTAAGTCTTTGCCGAAATATCTCAAAAAATTCTAAAAAGAAAAAAGGAAAGACCGGTATCCTCCTCTCTCTGATTGGTGCACTCGGGCGTTCGCTCATGTACATATATCTCTTATTGTAGGTGTATATATATATATATATATACGTTGTTTTATACTCCGCTACGTTTTCTATCATAATTGATATATCTCTCTTTGTATGTATATACACATCTCGCTGTAATAATTAGATATGGAAGAGTGTCTGTGTGACGTCGCGTCCAATTCGTTTTATTATTATTATTGTTATCATTATTATTGTTAATGTTATTATTATTCACCTATCATGCATTCACGTTGACCAGTTGGTCGGCAGAAGTTTAGCTCTCAATCTTCCCGTAAAATCTATTTCTCAAATCGCGCAGCCATCTCAAATCGTTTATGGTAGAAACAAAAGTATCGGCCGATTTTTATTTGTCTAAACGAGAAGATTGAGAGTTAGAGTGTAGCCTTACAATCTAATTGCACTTTGGAAATTAAGATTCACACGCGATATAGCAGAGCACGTTGAGCCAAAGCGCAAGTAGATGGTCGTCGGTTATGCATTTTGGAATGGTCATTATCATAGCTCACATATCAGCTTCTCTTTCTCTCTTTGTCTCGCAGTTGATTTTCTGGCTAATCCAGAAAAAGAAAAATAATAAATCGTGCATGCGACGAAAGTGTAAGGAATGCGCTACAACTGATTCTTTCCTAAATGCAGTTGGATTTGCACGAGGCGAACAAGAAACTCCAAGCTGGCGCCGCGAAAGCTGGCGCCGATACTATCCAAGAGAGGAGACAGATGGAGGAACAGAGACGACAGTTGGACGAGCAGAGAAGACAGACGGAAGAAAGGGCGAAGTCCGTGGATCAGAAAGCTAGGATGACAGAGGAAAAGGAGAGGACGCTCCAAAATCTCGACCAAGATCTGAAGAAGAGAAAGGCGAGAATGGACCAACTGGAGCAACAGTTACAAAAGGTAATCACATTGTTCACTAACGCGCACGTTTTAGCTATATTACAATTTTAATTGTACATATTGCGAATATAATAATATTACATTAGTTTCTTCATTGAAAAGCTGAAGTCATATGACAATTGTTGACCAAAAGTTTTGATTTCAGATTTTAGAAAGTGCGCTTACTCTTAACCTCCATTTTTGATATGTCGTAGCAGTAATTACTACTATTATATTAATAAGAATCTGCAATCTTGTCAAACATATTTTTTTAATTAAAATGAATTCGTCGGTGTTTCTTCACTAAACTTATACGATTCGATTTATGTTAACAGAGTGGCGGAGCGCCAGACAAGAGATTAGCGGAAATGCAAAAGGCGCTCGAGGTTGCCGAGAAGGAGATGGAAAAAGCGAAGGAAGAATCGGGCAGGAGCGCCGCCGAGACTGAGAGGCTATTGCAGCTCGTGCAGATGACACAAGAGGAGCAAAACTCAAAGGAGAAACAGATCAGAGAACTTCAAGAGTGAGTATTATCTCGAACGCGAACACAATGACACAAATACCTGACTCAATCAATTTTTACAATACTAATTCTTTTTATTCAATATACGTATATCAAAATTATGACATATTGTAGAGATATAAAACAGTAGTTTTTTTTATTATAATGTATAATTGTATATTCTTTAAAAACGTGACAAATAACTTGGATACAGATATCTTTTATAATAAGTTATAGCAAAACAATTATGAACAGGAGATAATAGATTTCTCATTTCGATAAATTTATATGGACTTTTTATTGATATGTGCTTTAAGAAATAATTTAGAGTGACCTCACTCCTGATACTCTCAATTTCTTTATCGCAGTGCACTCAAAACCGCACAAGCCAAGTTGAAACAAGCGACAACTGCACAGCAAGAGGTCAGTATACCTTATGTTTACTTGTCGAATATTGATAATAAGAAGAATGTAAATGAATTAATTTATATTAATATATTCTTCTTCTGTCTATTAACCTACTAACGACTTATCTTCTGACATTTTCCATGCTGCTTTCGGATGTAAACACGACATTCTCGCATATGCTTCACGTATCGTCACCTACCGTCGTAATTACGGCTTTTCGTTGACAATGCACACACAATAAAATAAAAATATTACGGACACTTTCCTTGCAAACGTCGCTAACAGGCGGGACCCGCCGGATTCCTAAAAAGCTTGTTCTAAGGTCGATTTTCGTTGGGAACGCCTTCTCCGTTCTTTTTAGTACAATTTGCATATTATAAGCGAGACTTTACGAGTATAGACGTACACACGAGGGACTTAACAAACGAAGGATTGAGGTCGATCCGCCAATGGGAAAAACTCATGTCGAGACATATAATTATTTTACGTAAAACGCTGCGACCATTGTTAACGTATTTAATAATTATAGCGAAAGGATAATAACGATAATAATACAACAATAACTTGATATATAAATACAAATATTGAGAATATATAAATATTGAAGATAAAACTATATAAATATAAATATAAATTTAACGCAGAGGATAAATTATAAATATACATATTAACGCGAGAGAAGATGACAACGGCAACAATAACGTTAATTAATTATTATTACTGAGAAGAAACCGAAGTATATATATATATAAATATATATATACGTATATATAAATATATATAGATATACATACCTACATACCGCCGTTACACACAGGATACAAATACACGCGCATCCATCTGTACATACATATTATTACTCACATGGCCGCGGAAGATATACGTATGTAGATGTATATATGTATGCACACACGTAAATATAAATATGAATAACTAGTTTAAATCGGGGGAAAGAAAGGAAGAACGAGGGAAAGTTAGATGGCGAACGGCAGACGCGAAGAGAAGGAAGAAGGCAACAAAGAATTGCGAAGAGATAATTTAACGGACGATAATTTCAATATATCGAGATAGAGGGAATAATGAAGATCAAGGATGATGTCTCGTGATCGTTTGAACGACGCATACTCTTGCGTCCTTCGCATCGATCGACACGATGCGACACGTACACAGATAAAAATGCACATACACATGCACACATACATATAATACATTCGCCTTTCTCTATTTCCTCCTCTGTGCTTCCGCTTTTACTTTCGTTATCGCTATCCCGTACATTTTGCCACTATGCCAACGAACGTCGCTTCGGCACGCATACCGCACGCTAGTCCCAGGATAACAAGGACGAGTCTTCTTGGCGAGAAGTACTGGAGGCGAAGAACCGTGCTATATTCGAGCTGGAGAAAACGATGAAGAATCTCCAGACGGAGCATGACAAGTGCAAGGACCTGTTGGATGACGCGAAACGCATTGAATCTTGGAAGAAGGAGACGGAGACGATGAATCAACACATCGTTCAGCTGGAACAGCAATTAAAACGCTGTGAAGGCCTAAAGGACGACGTCAACGGGCATGATAAGATAAGCACGGATACCGAGATGCAGACAAAGATGTGTAAAAATTATTGCAATCCGAATGCGAAGGATCGGCATATCCTCGCGCTGAAGCAGCAAGTGACGGCCATGAGGAGTTCCTTGAAGAATCGCGCGGAGACAACGGAATCCTCGGAGAAGGACAACAGCGACGAGAAGATGAACGGGAAAATGGAAGAGTCCTGGAAGCAGGAAATCGAGTCGAAGAATCGACACATTGTCGAGCTGGAGCAGAAACTAGCGTCGCTGGAAAACCTTCTGCGAAAGAGCGTGGATATGCTGAGAATGCGCGAACTCGAAAAGACGATCGACAGGAAGTCCAAACGGATCGCAGAACTAGAAGATGCCGTGGAAGAGCTTGAGGGCTTTCTTAAGGAGGACGTGAAGGAGATGCGTGATCTGCGTTACCAAGTGTCGCTCGATAAGGAGCATATTGTAAGAATGGAGAAATGGATTCAAAAGAACAACCTCATGAACGCGGGGATCGATAAAGCGAGGATTATAGAACTGGAGGAGATGGTTACGAGTCTGGAGGATTACGTCAGGGAACACGATATCGACGGTCTTAAGAGAAAGCTGCAGGATCGAGAGTGCAGAATTAGTCAATTAGAAAATCAAGTTTCTGAGATGAAGAAGCTGTCGCAATTCGAGGGAAATAAACCGAGTACGTGAAAGCTTTGCTAAAATTGTTACGTTGTTTTTTATTTTTTAATTACATTATTATTTCTATTACAATTTTTAGTCAGAGACACGTCGAAGGGGAGCGTCCAAACCGATGGAATAGCATGTGAACTGGAAGAAGATAAGATAAAGGATATAATGGACGCTGGTTTGGAAGAGGATGACAGAATCCAAGAGGAGGAAAGTCTGAAAATAGAGTTGCGAGAAAAAGAGCGAAAGATGAGGGAAATGGGACACGATATATCGGAAAAGGATAACAGAATCCAGAGATATGAACAACAGATCATCGAACAGCAAAATAAGATACTGAAAATGGAGAAGGAGATGGCTGAAATGGAAGAAGAACTGTACGAGACGGAGGATATTAGCGCATTGAAGGAAGAGATTAGATTGAAAAACGAGAGGGTGCAGGAGTTAGAAACGGAAGTCAATTCTTTGGAGACTTCGCTCGGCGAGAGAATTGACGTCGCGATCGAGGAGCTCATTGCCACTCTGAAGAGGAAGGAAGAAATAGAGCTTCAATTGAAGAAGAACCTCGCGGACAAAGAGCGCAAATTAAAGGAGTTGGACGCAGCTCTTCGCCAGAGCACTGCTATCACGGACGAGATTGAGACAAAGTTTAAGTACGAGCAGAAACTCAGAAAAGAAGTTGACCAAAGAGTGAGTCGAAAACCTTTGTAATATAAATTTTATAATAAGCACTTTGTCGCATACATTTTTCAGACATAATAATATTTATAATTTAATACAATTGTTTCAATTAAATTCATAAATTTTATATGTTATTCATTCATCTGAATGAATAATTATATACATAATAAATAATTACGATATATCGTAAATATCTTCTCGCATAAACTTTAGTGTATCTTTCAATTTTTAATTAATGAAATAGGACACAATTGTAGAGTACCTCTTAAGAAATTCTTAATTTTCTTATCAGGTTGCCGAGGTGGAAGAGAAAATCGCAGTAATGCAAGCTGCTTCAGCCACAAAATGCATCACGTGCAAGCCGCTTCTTTACAAGATATTTAAGACTGAAGAGAAACTCGTCCATTCAAATCAGGAGAAGACTATTCAGCTTCAAGAATTGCATCAAATTAAGTGAGTTTTTCAATTTTATGAAACAGTTTTGTCTCAATAATATATATTCTGTATTTTAGTATACAAGCGCAATACATTTTTAGCAATTTGTTTTAATATTGTTGGCCCTCTTGCAGACGTGAAGCTTTAAAAGCTGCCCTTTCCGAGAAGGATGCTTACTTAGCTTTGTTGGAACATTCAGGCATAACAACTCCAACACAAGTAGATCAGGCGGCGAAACTAAATGCTGATAAGAGACTATTACTTAATAAACTGAGGGAAGAGGTAATTTGAAAAAGTTTAACAAATATTCTTTGTTCTTAAAATTGGCGGCAGAATCGCAATATATTATTTATATTTTCTAGGACGAGAAAAGTATCAAGTTAGACTTTAAACGGGAAACAACACCACAATTATTTAAAAAAACATTGAAGACATCCGACGATAATGAAGACGGTAGTGATAACAATAATAATTCCTTTGACGATTACTTTAGAGGGATCAGTTCTTCGAAATCAGTTACTGCTAATGGCGAGAGCTTGCCAATATCAGCTACCACGAGCTGCAAGCATTCGTAAGTTACCAATAATATTTTTTTAAACCTGATATACGAATCAATAATTAATGTTGGAAACTCCATAAGATTTTTTGGTCAAATATAATTGAAGAAACAGTGTATAGAATTAGCACGAAACCTTTAAAGAGGTTTCTGAAGGAAGAAATACATGATTGCTACATACATTTTTATTTATAATATCAATAATTTTTAAATATTATTTATGAGTGTTGAGATTATATTTTTGAAGATACAATAATGAAGAATACCGAACCATAAGTGTTTAGCACTAACTGCTCCTAAAACAGACATACATTAAATATGTGTTAGATATTTGGTTAATTGGAACCGCGATGTTTTGCAGAACAAGAACATCGATGGTGTCTGAAAACTTGAAAGACGAAGATCAATCGCGGACTCTTCAGCAGGATACCAGATAAGTACTCGAGGCTACCTATGGTATTTTTGGAGTATCGGTCCCTTCGTTACTTCGATGTTGTCATATGCACACACACACCCGCGAAATGTAGAGGCAGTGTATAGAACGTCTTTAGAAACGTAGCAAAAGAAAGAAAACGAAACAACAACTACAACAGCAAAACTACAGTACACCACCAATATCAGTCAGCAACTACAGCAACAGCCAATATCTCTGCCTGTGCCGCTCATCACGCATCGTCTCGTGCATCAATCTTCACCACCATCATCATCTTCGTCATTATTCGACATTTCTCACCATTAATCGGCATTTTATCATCCACGTGATAGTGCTTAAAGGAATTGTCAAGATCAAGAAGCCTGGAGCTTCTTTAGACCGATGGCAATCCGAGTAGTTAGCATTTGCTGGTTCACCATGGATAAGATATAATAACAATGGATGACATACGACGGACATTTGATCCTGACAACATGTTGTAGGCATTTATATTCTTCTCTCCTCGACATCAGCGATTCTTGGATCGATGTAGACGTCATAATTTATTATTATTGCAATAATGTATCGAAATATACGAATTGTTGTTTATTATATAGTTCTTTGCAGCGCGCGGCGTACAACATTGTTAAAAAATTGACAATTCAAAGGAGCATTATTTTATATTTATTTCTTTAATATATTTAATTTTAGGTGTATAAGTAAGTTAGCGCTGCAATAAAATTAGATTAGCAGAGTATTGAAAGAAATAAGAAATGGTTAACATAAATTGGAGTTTTATTACTTGGATTTTGATACTTGAAACTTCTGTTAGAATATTCAAATATTTATAAGAGCTCACTTTTTATTATTTATGGCTATTTATAATCTAATTTGCTTGAAGAATTTAATACAGGATGAGTTTACGTATATCGGCATTCTTTGTTGTGAATAAAATTACAATTGGAAAAAATTATATAAACCCTGCCGTCTTCGTTCTGCAAAGAAAAAAAGTAAGTTAAAAGAAATGGTATTGGTAAAATTTGCATCATATTGCATTCGTAATCAAAGAAGCTTTACTATTATTAAATTGGTTTTTGTCCTTTATTTCTGTTTATTTTAATTTTTATTAATTGGATCAGTTTTTTATTCAACCAGTGTCTGTGATTTCGAAAATTAATATTTATGAAATCAAAAGGATTCAGAAATGTTTGTAGATACATCATCTTTAGAGTGTCGCATAAAATTATTGCAATCATCACGCTAATCGCAAAAATGGGAATACGCAGAAGATTACGCCGTTGTACCAGGCGACGTGCGCGATCAGAATGCGCTTCTTTAGGGCGCACTCCGCGAGAGATCGCGGAAAAACCAAGAGAACGTAGCCGAGGCACTGAAGAAAATCTCTTGTAAATAATACCTATGTTATTTCTTCTACCCAGTGCAATTATCCCGAAAGTCGTGAACAATTCCTTGGAGGCTCCTATTTAAACTTCTATATCCGTTCCCAAGATACACCACTGTAGATTAGGAATCTATTATGTGTACACGCATAGGTATCTCGCTAACGAAATCTGCATTTACTCGAGACTGTCCTATCGGAGAATGCATGGTCATTATGCATAATGTATATCGCGCGAGGAGATTACGGATTGTAATAAAATATCGTAAGAAAAAGACGTGCGCTCTAAACTCGCTTAGTCGTCGATTTTAAGTAAATGGACCTTGCGCTGAAATGTGCGCAAAAAGAGGTTTCTTTAAAAGGTAGAAATTTGCGCGGTGTAAATTACTTATAAAAAGAACGCGGTTACTTTTACATATTAAACTATATAATAATGTACATCGTTGCAGATCTGCATCTCGCAAAGCGCATCGAAACACGATATTTCATTACGTTCTCCCCTTTCTCCTTACAACAGTTGGCTACCGTCGAAAATTAATAGAAACAGCACAAGACGTTCGACGTATAAGGTTTTAAATGCCATTTATGGAAACAAGCTGAGCTGTCAAGCGATCTGAGTAATTGCGTTACAGCATTTTTAAGTAATTAACATAATATACGTCTGCATTTTGCGGGGACCGTAATGCGATTACGCAATGCAAGAAGAAAGCGATGAAGTAAGATCTTGTCGGGTGACATGTTCTTTAATCGTTCGATCATGCTCGCCGCTAATTAATGTCGTCGCGTCTGCCATTGCGGTGAGTTCAATTGCGAAATGTTGAAAGTGTAAAATTTTATCGTTAATACTTGAGGATAGGCCCTCTGTGAATACCGAGGGTACGGCAGCACTTATCTCGTTGCTGGCTTATCCATTCGTTTAACTCTGACGCCTCTTTGCATCTTGACGAAACGTCTACGAACCATTTAAACTCAAAAGACTTATTAACTCGATTTTAATATATCTTAACGTTAGGACAACTGTAAGCTGGAATCAAAGTGCGTGTGTTGTGCGCGGCGTGGATACTTGTTTAAGCGAAGCATCGCGAGCTGTCAAATGCATTTAGAAATTTAGAAAAAAGTACCACTCTCTTATCTAAATAATATTTTTTTGAAATTAGATATTACACCAACCTTATTGTTGCTTTTACTTTTCTCTCTTCTTCATTAAACAATGATAGGTGAATTGATAAAAATTTGACGTTTATATATTTTGTGTTGGATATAATTTAATGAATATTTTTATCTCAATAAACATCGCGATACTTGGCCGTAACTTTTGTCAGAATAACGGTATGCGTTGCCGCGAAACACTTCCTCTCTTACTTCTGACCTCCAATCTCATATAGATACACGTGCAGAGATGGGATCATTAAAATTAGTGTCACCGCGTGAATACAGTAAAGTGAGAACCGTGAAGGCGAGAATTATATTTATGTTAAGTTTCGAATTTTTCCACAAGAATCAAATACAGACAATCTAACAGTTACGGATAATTATCTGGACCATCTAAATGTTTTCTCTGTCTGAAATCAATGAGAGTTTATACAACGCGTTCTCTTATTGTTCATATTTTTATAAAGATGTTAGATAGATGGCGAAATTTTATTAACGAAATGACAAGTTGTTGACACGTTCTAATTTTCATAAAAACGATAGCTGTTATTTTACTTCTGTTAACTTCCAACGTTTTAAATCTTGTAATTTTCATATATTTATTTGCAAAGATTATTGTCCTTTCTAAATGAAGAATGTAGCGTTAAATATCTCTTTCGCGTCGATCGAGTCGAGAGATCGAAGGTGAGATGGAGAGGAAGGACGATGGGAGAGAAATAAGGAGAAACAATTAGTTAACGTGTGCCACCGTCATATCAAGCCTATATCATCGTGTTACGTCATATATAGCTAAGCAGAAAAAAATAATATTATCGTTAATTGACACAATTGTTAACACGGAACGAGTGAGTGGGACATGAATGTGTTGTGCGTCTGGTGAACCGATTTTTACAAAAACCGGCAGCATTATTTTTCCAGTGTAGAATTTTTTAACAAAAAATCGAACTCCGGATGCTTATCTCACTTTTACGATCTCGCTTTTTATACAATATTTGACATCGCTAAACTTCGACTCTTATCCAATTTTAATTAATATTGTGAACATTAAATCCAAGTCACTTTCGATGTTTCACCTCTTTGTTAAACGTCATAGAAACTCGAGTAATTCTTAATTTGCAATTTCTGTTTCCCGAAAAGCCGCAGGGAATGTGTGACTACATGCACGAACGAGGAAATGCGACAGACACAGATAAAGTATCAGATCGAATTTCTTGTTGACATATTAGACTCTACTAACGTAATAACGATATAATATATAATAGTAACATATTATCCGATCACTCCACGAAGATCCTTTCGATACAATCGATGTCGTAGAATTTTTGTCGTCCGCGTCGAAACGGTGAAAAGAGTTCGGGTGAGAGTACGAACGAGGAGGAGGATGCGATTGTATTTCGCAACAGATCGCGCCTAATTTACTAGAAGCGTAAGTAGTGGTAGAATAATAAGCATTTGTTAAATTTTAGGCCCGATTTCACTTAGCCGCGAGATCATTGTTACTTGACTCTCATCCGCAATTGCGATGTCGCATTTATATCATCGGATTTAAAATCCATTTTTTTCGTAGACAAGGAAAGTCGAAGTTATTATTTGTTGATTATTAAACAGTTAATACTTCATTTCTAAATACCCCCTTGTACTTAAAATCATTTCTCAAAAGTATCGCTCACAGAAAATGTAAGATTTAATCACGCGTTATCACGACAAACTTTTTACCATGTAATCGCCCATCCCGGTAAATTATTGTTCAATATCGAGATCCTCCCCTCGAACCTCATCGATTTATATGGCACTCAAGGGGATCCTAAGGCGAGACTGCAGAGTGAGACGAGAGTGAGAGTCCGAGTGAAAGAAAGTGCAAGAGTAGCGGTCCTGATATTATTTTTTGACTCGTGACTGTTAAGTGTCCACGATAAGAAAATACCAAAAAAAAGAAATACGATTTTTATGTCAATATTGTAAGGAACGCCGTATCGACGTTATCGTAATCCTTATCGGATGCTATTTCCAGATAGAAGCAAAAGAAATGATTAAAATTATGATTGGAGATTTAATAATAATCGAAACGATACGATAAGACGAATTAAGAAACCAATTATTTATACTTTGATGAGAAAACGAGTACAACAATTCGCGAACATCGGCGCTTCTTTCTTACTGCTCTTTTGTTTTATTGCGCTGGTAATGATCTCGCGATAGTCTGTATCGAAAATAAAACGTTCTTATTAAAAAAGAACGCTTCAGCGTTCCGACGCATCCGATAAAGTGCGGCCACGGTACGACGTGATTTCAACCCGCTCCTTTTCTATTCTCCAGTTTCTACGTGTTTAATCGCTAAATGAACCATTGATAACAAGTCTTAAACGAAGATAAAACGCGATAAGGAGAGACGCTTCGATTACTATTATCGTGCAACGTTTATCGTTAATAATCGTGAAGGATCTCGACGCAATACAATTTTTCGATCGCGTGTATATACCTAAGCGAATGATAATAATACGACAACGGGGATTTAAGTCAAAAGCGTGAGCGTGAGAGAGCGTGTGTGTGTGTGTGTATGTGAAAGAGCGAAAGAGAGACTGAAAGAAAGGAAGAGAGAAAAAGAGAGGACAAGAATACGAGTGAGATAAGTCCTGTTTCGCCTAGTCCTTGCGAACGCTTAATTAATTAGGCGTCGCGTATATCTCGAGCGAGTGTTACGTTTAATCCGCCGGAAATCACCGAAGCCGTTCTCATGTTCCTTTTTTTTAAATGATTTTTTTCCTCGCGCTTCGACGATTTCCGGCCTCCGGGCAGGAGTCGAGATGACGATCGTGAAGCGAAAGAAAACGTCGGATTATAATGAAAGGTGCGACGAAGCTAGGAACATAAGGTTTACCGAAGTAAGTTAGGAGATAAGCTAATTAAAGTAACAGTTTATTGAAATACATTGTTGCAACTGCCATGCTGTGTGCCATTATATAACGAGTCACGTTTGTCGTAAAAAGCAAAAAGAACAAAAAAAAATGAGAGATTGAGAAGAAGAGATGAAGAGAAGAGGAGGAAGACGTTAGCGGACATACGAAGTAAAATGGTATGTCTGTGAAATTCTTGTGCGCGTTCTCGTCTGAAACTTCTTGGTTTACGCTTCGGAATCGTGGAATTACACCGTCGTCCTCGCACACGTCGCACTTAAAAATCCCTCCTGATAACGCAGTATTTTGTTATACGATTTACTATGCAATTGAGAGAATGACAATTTTGTCAAACGTCAACGCAGGATTTTGTGACCGATGCGTAACGCGAGGAGAAAATTTACGGGCCTTTTCTTAATACTTAGTCGACTTAGCTTTGAAGATATGATTTCGCGAGTAAATACAAATATCGCTCGACGGAAGGAAACGCGAGAGAGAAGCGCGTCGAGGGGATACGGGAAGGACGACGGGGTAAATACCCAGATATCGCGGACGATTTCGTTCGAGCTGGCGGAAGTTATGTGCAACCTGCTTGCGCGAATCGGCATGTGGATATTACACAAAATATAGTAATGGTATCGTGACATACCAAACACGCGCAGGCACGTGCACGGGCACTTGGCGCATGAGGACTAAAGCTCCGAAACGAAATTCATAACGAAATTCGGCGCGACGATCCGTTTCTGCAACGGCAAGGCGCAATCGCCGAGAAAAAAAGAACCTTTCATCCTGCGCAAATGCACTTGGATGCATTTGTTTCGACGGATGCGACGATTACGGAGCTTTTTTCTGTATAGATATAAAGATATATACATATATACATATATATAGCATCTGTTAATGATAATAATTCATTACGCGCGCTAAGTCGTTTCGTTACAACGTGTTACGTAGAAAATTTATCGATGTTGTTATTAACGATTGTCTTCCTTTGATAGTCCTTTGACAGTCCTGTAATTGCCGCGTCCGTCACTGTTAGTAAATTCGTAGGATGGTGCAAGATTGTTGTTTCACGTCAAATAATATAAACAGTCATAAATCTTTTTAATTCTACAGAATTTATTTCATTTTAAGATGTTCATTTTATTTGAGATATTAATAGCGCGTTTTAAAATGTATGACGCTTAAAAAATGTTATGCAATAATCAATTTCAGTCTACTGACAAATTTCAGATATTCAGAAATTTGTCAGTAGACTGAAAGATATATTAAATATTGTGATTTTTGTTTCGGATAAATTGATTTGTATGCATAAATTAGAAAAATTTATATATTTAACATACATATAGGAAATAATTATTTTATTTTCTCAACGAAAGCAAAGAATTAAAAATATAAGAACATTTGTTATTTGGTAAATTTTGATCAACGCATATGGCGATTCGTCAGCGACTAAGCAGCAACGGATCACCGACTGCCTACATTTCATGTAACGCGATGTCTTACAATAGCGAGTATAATCTACTCTCGTTAGTTGACAACCGACGGTGTGTGAGGAAACAAGGAAGGATTTAATAAGTAACCACGTAAAGACCGAGGTGACGTCGACCCATCATAGATTCAAGCACAATAAGGATAGTAGGGCCAGGCACAATAAAATTCGGCCGTCACGTTGTAGGCAGCGATCTGTTAGAGCGACAACTCGTATAAGTATCCATATAGCGAGGCTATTAAATAAACACATATTGTCTATTGTCCGACGAGTGTATTTATTGTTGACGCTGATCGTTCCCTTCTGCAAGCCTCTAAGCAATCCGATATTGAATGATAATAAATATCTCGCGGAGGAAAAGGCTCACATTTACTCTATTAACTCCCCAGTGTTTATTTCTGAAAATAGTTAGATTTTATGCCATTTATACAGAAAGTATCTGTGTAGAAATATTTTTATTTAATATCTTTTTACATGTATTTATACGTATTTATTTTTTATTCTTACATTTACTTTCTTAACATCAATTATATGAAAGTAAATCTCAGTACTTGAAGTTTGCTTCCGAAGCTTACTATTAAATAGCAATTCTTTTATTTTAACTGCGAGTACATATGAATTAATAGTAATTATTTAGCTGTTATTTAGTTAATTTGGTAGTAATATTAAGGTTACGACTTACATTACAGCATACAAGAAAGAACGACGGAGATGCGAAGAAATACGACTACTTTAGTAACAGAGGGTAACTGAATTAATGCATAAAAATTAGATTGTGTAATCAGATTACATTAAATATAACCTGGCATATAAACTGTATAAAAACCATTTATAACTATATTGATTTTGTATTTTAATATAAAGACTTTTAAAATAAATCAGCATAATATGATCGTAATTGTAAATAACAAATCAATGAAATTTATTATCAATATAAATTTAATTATGCAAAAATATGATGAAAATATTCTAACTCTATATTTAATATACCATTGAAATACTTTGAATATATATATATATATTAATGTTAATTTAATAATCACGAAAAATGTCCTATTTAAACCGTTCATAATTTAATAAAGATTGTGCAATTGGCAGATCGATCCTCGCGTGCACGATTGGAGCAACATACCAAAATATTCGCGTCCATGTGCCCCGACGAAATCCTCGACCATTATGACAATTACGAAACTAGGGAATACGACACGACATTGATGCTCGGCGATATTTCAGGTTGAAACAATCTCTCGGATTGTCACGCATCGACTTTTCTTTCGTCATTATGACAAGTCGCAAATTATAATGCGTGATTTTAATTACCGTGCAGGCTTCACAGACCTCACGGAAAAATATACAAAGACCGGCGTCGGCGGTCCCTCCAAGCTATCGGAAACTTTGAACAGCTATATCGGTGCGATGGTGCAGGAGATCCTCTCGCATGACGGTGACGTCGTGAAATTCTCCGGTGACGCGTTCATAGTGATGTGGAAGCTCCAAGAAGGGATGCTCATGCGCGATATCGCGACGGAAGCGATACAGACCGCGTGCATCATACAGAAACATTTCGGAACCTACAACACCGACGTCGGTGTAACGCTCAGAGGTTTCGTTGCATCATTAATGCAATATAGTAAAATATTGAATTCTAACGTTCTCGAGAGTCGAACGTCATCAAATTTACAAGTTAAAGATCGCAAGCATAGTTTATTTTATTTTTATAACACAATACAATTATATCATATTTTTGAAGAATATTGTACAATAGATTGCAAAGTCTTCCATTCGACGATAGCCCCACAGGTTAACTTAATAATATTTTTAATAGTAAAGCTTGCCATTGCTTCCGGAATAACGTACTTTACGTCTATTGGAGATCCAGAAACTATGTCCTATTATGTTATTACTGGAAAGCCTGTCTGGGATGTAAAGTTTGCCGAAGGATTGTGCCGGTATTAAAGCATAATATTATCTGCATTCTGACTTGTAGTCTTTGCATAGACATACGTATAAATTTCGATGTGAGACAAAATCAAAAAGAAATGAGCAAAACTGAAAATAATTTATGTAAATCTATAACTTACGTATATATTAATTCTATGTTATTAATTTACAAACTTTTATTATAAATTAGAAATGTCAATTTATTTAAAATTTTATGAACTGAAAGATATCGAAAAGATAAATTTAAAAAATGTCACTTTTATTATGATTTACCAAATGATTTATTCAAATCACATTAGGTTAACTTTAGGAAAGGAAAGAAAATTGAATACCATGTTGACACAATAAATTTTATCTAGAGGCGGTGATATTCTCGTAGCACCTAGTAGCTGGCAATGGGCGAATCCTAACGAGTATGTTTGTGAAAAGTTACCGGATGGTATACATACTCTGATTATAGCTTGCTCAGCAATGTGGCATCATTCCAGAGCTCACGATATTCATAATGGCACTGAAATCAGTACGTAATTTTAGATTAAAAAAATATAAGGTGTCTCATTTTAAGTATTAATATGCATTGCAATTGTCAGATAACAGAAACGCCGAGAATAACAGAAACTTTTTCGATTTACCGCGTGATGCAAATAATGCAAATTTAGTGAACTGGATCGGTGATACTCAGACAGAACATGATTTCGAGCAGGTCGATTATAGCTGTGAGTAAAAACGTACAATCCACATTGTGTTATTAATTTTCACATCGTCCTGAGAGTCGGCCACGAACGCGAATTACAATTGTAAATGTTTAATTTTGTAGTGAGGCCCAAAGTCATCAGGGCAGCTAAAGAGCGACTGAAGGATTCATTGAGAAGCTATATGCTCAGACCTGTTATACGATCCGTGGAAATGGACGAGCCGTTGGAACATCTTACGGAGATGAGACAAGTGGTCATACTCTTCATTAACGTCATCACAACGGTCATGGATAACAAAGGATTGATCTCGCTCGTTAGTGCAGCTTATAAGTTAGTCTGCGGGTAAGTTCAAACTTATATTTTTATCTACTGTCTTTCATCATCAAGCAATTATGTCTATAATCATATTTATTCTTTATATTAATATATTGATTTTATATACGATTGTATATTATTTAGATGCATTTATATCAATTATATAAATAGCTACATTTATTTGCTTTATTTATTCATACTAATGCAACAAGTAGCAAAAGTGAAGAGTTGTTATTATTACGATAATTAATTTAAGAAAGAAATTACCTACCATTACTTTAATCACACAATTGTCAATATTTTTTATTTCTCAAGGATAGTCTGCGAGATGCACGGATGCGTGAACAAGACGTCCCTTTTCGACAAGGATCTGATATTCCTCTGCATATTTGGACTGCGTGGGGATAAACACGTGCTGGAATCGCAAATCGGATTGAGATGCGCCAGTAAGGTGCGGCAAAGTCTCCTGGCGATGAAGAACGTAAAATCCGTGACGATCGCCGTTACCACCGGGATGACATATTGCGGTGTGATCGGCCATATCTTACGGAGGGAGTATACCGTGATAGGAATGTCGGTGAACAAGGCAGCGCGTTTGATGGTCGCGTACAATAACAAAGTAATTGGATGAAAAATAATTATTCGCTTTTTATTCATTTCCGCTTGCGAGCTGTAGATGAACTCGTTGGACGAATAAACTGTCTGTCGCGACTGTGTCGTTATTAAATTGGGAAATAAGTTATCATCATTAAGAAGTGACCGGATTATTAATCTTTCGCCGCTAAATTTTAGTTTATTTCTAATTAAAAAAGAACAAGTACTTCACTTCTATTTCATACAGCAGTAATCTTTATCTTCAAGGTGATATGCGATCGTGAGAGCTTTCTACGCTCTCGTCTCGAAGCAAGGCACTTTATACTTCAAGAGCCGCGACATTTGAAGGGAATTACAAAAGTTGGTCCTGTCTATGAGTTTCAGGAACATATAAAGTATTTAGCAAGTTTTGATTTTGTAATTTTCTGAAAATCACTGTTTATCTTCGTAAAATATTGTCTCTCACCGTTATACTAATTTATACATAGTTACAGATTTATTGCTCCTGAATTAACACGAAGGAAGTATCCTTTGCTTGGACGAGAAGCGGAAATCAAGATTTTTCGACAGATGCTGTCGAATCTAACAGCACATCTCACCATGGACGAAACAACACAGCAGTGCGAATACAATATGTTGATTATAAAGTAAGCGTCTGATTCCCATTGGAATCTTTAATTTAACATCCTTATAATTTTTTGTTATTAATTTGCAAACACAATTTTTCATACTTATCTAATCTAACTTTTATTGTTTCCTTTTGCAGAGGCGAACCGAGGATCGGCAAGACGAGACTGTTGGACGAAATCTCACAGAATATTCCTACAGGTGTATCACGCAACTATATCTCCTTGGTTATGAACGATGTTAAGGTTGACATACAAACTGCAAGATTTTTTTAACTGTAACATATTAAATTTAATCCCTTATGTCAAAGATACACAATCTACTCGCTTGTCTTTCTCTATTGCAATATTTTAATCAGAAGTCATCTGAATGCAGCACTTATTTATAATAGATTGTTAAATAATGAATAATTATCAATATTTCTTAATCGATAATTAAAAGTTAGAAAATTTTTTTAAAGCAGAGTTCAAATCGATGGTTTTCTCTTAGCATAGGTTTCTTACAGTTTGATCCATCTGATATTTTCCATGCCGCTGGGCTTCAACGTCGCCACCACCCCGAGAGACCGCGAAGAAATACTGATGTCACGATTGGAAGGTGTCTGCGAGCCGGAATTCCTTTGCGCCCTTAATCAGCTCTTTAACGTGCATTTTATGATGAGCTCGAGCTACACAGCACTATCCAGAAAACAAAAGCGCAAAATGTTGCGCAAGTTTTTGCTGAAACTGATGAAGAGCTGCTTCAGGGAGCTCTGGGTAGTGATCATCGATAATGCACAATATAGTGACGAGGATTCTATGAAACTGTTTCGTACGATAACTAACCAGAGCACAGTCTTATTCATCCTCAGTCTCGGACGCAAGCTGAACGGCGAGTATGAAATGGACCCCTCCGTTTTGGAGAAAGCGCGAGTACGAGTTGACACAAATATTTAGAGAAAGTAACTTAATTAAAGAAAGGTGATCAATAAATGCTACGATGACTTTTTCAACCGCGGATAAGGTGTTTATTTGTGTTTTCTTTTATAATTAATATTCCATAATGAAGAAATTTGTAAGAAAATATGTAAGAAATAATAAGAAATGTGTAATGGCATTACATTAAATTTATATGCAGGGTGTATCTTTTTACATTTTGCTTTTACGATACTGCAGGATGTAAATGTTTGTAAATATGTAAAGTATTTTTAACTGCTAATAGATTATCGAATTGGGTCGCATAGACAAGTGGTATCACGCAGCGCTCGCTTGTCAGATTCTTGATGCAAGTGGAATTCCTCCGGAACTCGAAAGGTTAGACACTTCAAAATGCAAATAGCTCTCGTTAATAAACAGCCAAAATATAACTTCTTTGCACCTGTACTTTTTGTGTATCTGCACTTTGGCCCATGTTCTGAATCCTTTTTTTTATCGTTAAAAGTGTTTGTAAAAGATATTTTCAGTCAATAAGAATCCTGCAAAACCAATTTTAGTGGCACTTTTAGCGATAAAAGAGGATTCGGAATATGGACCTGATTGTCTTTTTAGATTGATTCAAGAAAGAAGTTTTGGTAATCCAGGTTGGATAGAAAGTTATTTATTGAGCCTTACGCAGTCTGGTAGCCTTGTAATAGTACATATCAGCAAATTGATTGCTGAGGAAATGGGTTATGTGCTTCCTCCCATTTATATGCTGAAGAGGTTTTACAATTTTGTCTATGGTCTTAGACTCTAACTTATCCAATATCTTTATCTTCTCTTGACTATTACGTTGAAAGTGTGATTAAAATTATAAGAGAAGAAGAATTATCAGAAAAGCGAAAACATTTAAAATAAATTAAGGTTGTTTTAACATTTTTGACAAATCTTTTTTTTTATTGTAAATAATAATCTTATAAGTGTCACAATTCCTTACTCGCGACTGCACAAATGTACTAATAAAATCAATTAACAGTGATTGGCATAAAATTATTACAAACACACGATGGTCAGCACAGGTTTGCCTCTGAGGAAACGTTTCTGAATGACGGGAATAATGAAGAAGAAAGACGATCAGACAAATGGAAGATGTACAGGGCAAGTTATCGTGTAGGTTTCTCTTTCCTTTTTATTAATTATTTTCCATAATTAATAAATGATATAGAATATTTGTTTTAATTTCAGAATGGTCAAATATCTATGATGAGACCGCACGCCGTCCACAAAGCGGGAACTCCAATTTATGATGAAGAGACAATCGCCGTTTGTAAATTTACGCAAGGGTTTGTGCCAGAAGAGGGAGATACTGAAGTGACAATGGACGGTAATTAAGAGACTATTTTTGCTAATTCTAGTGACTGTAATTTTTCATTTAAATGTTAAATACATTTTATAAATTAACTTACTTTTTGTTTAGGCAGCTTAAAGTATTTTAAACTGTGATTTTGCACGATATTTCTAATCTTTTATATTGTACAATATTTTATCGTGTATTATGTCGCCAGTAATGATCTTGAAGATTTTCGACTCGTTAACACCACTAGATCAACTATTATTAAAATGCGCCTCGGTATTGGGAGAAATTATTAATAGAAGCATGCTACAATACCTCATGGAAGATAAATCTACGAGGGAAATTGGACTAGGTAAAAAGATATCTAACAGAACAGTGCAATATTCTTATAGTGGATGTTCTGCGCAATCTAAATAATTACAAAATTTCCCTGTTGCGATGAAAAACCATTCAAAACAGTTATTTATTATTACTGTAGCTGTCAAGAAACTCTTCGAGATCCGAATCTTTGGATGCGCGCGTGGTGATTTTACTATGAGTGGCAGGCCGCTGGTGTTCTACAGAAATATAAGGAAATTCAATCTTGAAGCAGAAACTGAGTGCGAATGTGTGGATCTTATGATACCAGGTATAATTAAAATGTAAAATATGAAATTTCAGCAAGCATTTAAATGTGATATATACAATAAAATTCCACGTGCCTTATTTAAAACTATTATGATGGAAGAAAATTTATTTTTAGAGGAGCTAACTGACCTGCCACGTTACGCGTCTTGCGGTCTGATGTATTTTAAAATGTCGATGTTCCGCGAAACTACTTACAGGTAGTAAATAATTTTACAATATTTGGATTAATTATATTAATAAAGCAATCAGGATACAATATTTTAAATGTTCTGCATTAAGTTCTATTGAACCTGCTTCAAATAATTAAAATTATATTATTAATATAATCAATTGTATCTTTTTACATTAACGTATGAAGATCGCTCACGGAAAATCAAAAGATGGAATTACATAGCAAGGCGTTAAAATATCTTCGGCAACATACCAAACGATGTATGACTTGCGGTGAGATACAGTTTACAAGATTGTTAGGAAAAACGCCCACGCAAGAGACTAGAAGAAGAAGATTAACTGTCGATATCACCGAAATGCATCAGATTGAAGAATCAACTTACAATTTCAAAGAAGAGACAGAAAACGGTATCATATATCTGGAATCAGTTTTTAACTTACAATCACAGTTTGAATATGAATTAATGCAATTAAGCTGTTATAGATACGCATCGATTTTTAAATAAATAAAAACTCTTGATATCATATCATTGCAATTACGTGTATACAGAAACATAAAAATTATAATAACTTTATAATAATATACTGTCATTGCAAGACACGCAGCCGGAAACAGAGAGAACGCCGATTTGTCTCAATATTTTTCGAAGTGTCAGGAAATCCACCAAGACGTTTTCCAACGTTGACTTCGCCAATTGTCAATGCCATCTTATTCTAATAACTGTCTATGCTCAGATATTGGAACATTGTCAAGGAATCGGTAAGTCAACGTAAATCAGTCGGCGAAAATGCATAACAAATATTATATATCATGGTTTCTTAAATTTATAAATCATAAAAATCACTTAATATTTTTCTGTTCTAGGGAAACAAGATATGATCGTGACAGCAATTTTGGAGTTTGTGGAAATTTGTTTAGCGAGCAATAACGTACCTCAAGCTCGCAGACTTCTGAGTGACGCTGAAGCTTTGCTTCTGCAAGTAAGCAAGGCGGACAAAACAGAATAAAAGTTGTAGTTTAAAAAGATATGTTAATCGTGATTCTTAACAATAGATGTTGGAGACCAACGAGGAGAAATCGATAGTTCTGCTTTATCTCATTGCAAACATTCAGACGTTTCAAGGTAGATGCCACTTGGAAAGCGGTTTACTTTCCGAAGCAAGCAAGAAGTTGAACGATGCAATGAGCAGTCTGGGCTACAATTTTCCGCGACGTAAATTCACAATCGACTCGAAGTTGATAATTCAACTCGAACTGCTAAGGTGGAGATTGGCCTGTCCCAAGCGTTGGAAAATCGACGATGAACTCACTACAAATTATGTCGAGCAACTAGCTAATTGCTTGGCACAAATGTTTAATGTATTTAGAGTAAGGATCGTTATTTCAAAATTTTTCTATATCGATGCTTAAATAAACTGTCCCTTGTGACAACTCGCTCAGCGTCTTATAAAATAATAAGCCTCACATTTGTAGCTCTTGTGGCTTGTTCAATTTTATGAATATTTATTTTTATGGTAAATTTTGAAACGTAATAATTGCTATTAATTATAACTCGACTTTCGAGATTTCAGGGGATGAAGAAAATGAAGAAACATGCACGGTTAGCAGCCATTTGGGGCTTAAATGCTGCGCTGGATGCATCGAATGACTTCCTCATGCTTTGTACCTCGCTTACGCACATGATGATCATCGCACACGTCTACCAAACCAAGTGCTACGCTAGATAAAATCATTTAGAACCACAAAAATTTTTCTAGTTTACTAAACAATTGATTAATAATTTCTGTGTATCAAATTTATTATGTACACCATTTGTAACATTATTGGATGTTATCTTCTTTCCATAAGAACATTTATTATAGTGTTTGATTATTTTTGAGCAGGTCAATTGTTCCTTATTTGGAAAGACACGCTCTCAATATCTGTGCGAAGAAAGGAGATTTACTCGAATTCCAAGAGCTCAAAGCCATTGCCGAGCTTTATGCGGGAGTATTTTTCTCGCGATGGTTGAGAAGCGAGATCAGCAAAGCGATTAGAATTGGTTTTATCACGATGAGAATGGCGCAAACTCTGGACTCCGTGAACCTCAAGTTGCTCATACTACCGAGACTAGTGCACCTGCTTATGATCTCGTGTCGCCATTCGGAAGTCGTGACTTTGCTGAGAGAATTAGGTGAGCTCTCCGATTAAACGGACAGGTCTTAACGATCCTATTAATGCTTCTATTAATGAATCTTATGTCGAATATGATAAACTATTCAACAAATACATAGTTTATGTTTTAATTACATGTAACAATATATTTTTAAATTGTACACGCAGAATTCGCGTCACGAAACAACTTAGATAAGTCGGGTCGTACTTGGTACTACGCCATGTGTGCTGATGCGCTACTCGACACCGGCCTCACAGTCCTCTCGTTTCAAAATTGCGACGAATATTATCTTCAAGAAGGAGAGACCATAATTAGCGTACATGATCCTGAAGCAGAAAGACGATATTTCACCTCCATGTGGTTATGGTAAATGCAAGAAGTTTTACTTTATGTGAAATTAGAATTAATGATTCCAGAAATAGAATATATTATTATTGTAGAAATAAGAAAGTTTTGGAGAGCTTTTTATTTTAATACGCGATAATTCTTATCGAAGGTGCGTCAGAATGCAGCAGTGGGAAGCTACGAAAGTTTGGAGCAATAGAAACGTGACAGCCGAAAGTATGGTGGACGAGCACAAGGTAGCAGCAACGATTACTGCACTAAAGAAAATCGAGGGATTGCTTATTTTATATGGTAATAAAGTAGATGATTATTTGACTGTTGTACAATATGCATATGTACATGTATATATACGTATATCAAATTATTATCAATATATTATGAAAGTAAAATTGCAATTTTGCAGTAAAGGAAGTTACTAACAGGAATATAAACGCATTGAACACGCTAACAGAAATCAAGTATGAATTCAAACATGTTGGGAGTATGATAAAGATTGTAAAAATTGCAGTCCCCAGGTATAAAAATTGATTACTGTTAATAATATTTCATTAATTTATATTATACATTATAATCTGTAATATGTTAAGCTAGTTCGCGCAAAATAATGTTGCACAATGTAAACAATGAAAAATAATTTTAATTATATTACAACTTTAAATTACATGGAGATAGAACATTAAGACTTCGATTTACTACCTGTTATTTAAAGATTTATTTGAACGAACCGAAATGTTCGCAGGTATATGTTGATGAAAGCTTATTATTACATGATACAGTCACGAAAAAGTGCTGCGATAAGTATGCTACGAAAGGCGAAGAAGTTAGCTATAAAAGTAGATAACAGAATGATTTATGCATGGGCAAATCATTGTCAGCAAGTACGAGAAAATTTTCTTTTTGTTGTGATTTTACACAATCTCGATATTTAATTTTTATTATATTCAGGCTTGGCTAGGTGCTATATCCACCATACACGAAGATTTATGGAAAGAAAAAACTATGAAGGTACATAACGGATGGGATGAGGTAAATGCCAACGATTCGACCATGATTCCTTTTACACTTCCATTACCGAAGTATATGTTATAAATATCTGTAATTTTAACGCATAAAAAGTACCTAATTAATAATATTTCTTGAGTTAATAAAATTTGTCCACTCTTATCTTCTTGTTAAAATAGATATACAGATCGCATTTAAGAAATTATCATATGCTTAGTTTACTATTACACAAGACAATTACAATATTTATTTCGGTCAATCTATTTACTTATATTCATTTAACAGTTTTCTAAGACTCTCGGTAGACAGTGATATGTTCTGCGTATATAAATTTTCAGATCTTTTCTTTTTCTTATCTCAAGAAATATCCTAAAAATAAATTGTAATAGTATTTCAAGACGTTTAATCGCCCTTTGTTGCAATACCGCGACGACATGTAATATAACATTAATACTGCAAGCGGGCGGTTTGGTTCTTTACCTCACCACCGTCACCCAGTTGCACCTGTTTCGTGGCTCACGGACCAAATGCGGATCGTTAAACGCAATTATACGGATCATTGTGCAATGGTGCGCGGTGCTGTGCACCATGCGGCTGTGTGCGTTTCGTTAGTGATAACTAAGCAGTTGAGAAGCGGTCACTGTTGAGTGAATGGTGATCGGTATAAACAAGCCAGTGCTACTCGGGAGAGACCTACATATCTTTCTTCTGAACCAACGTGAAGCAGAGACGTTTTACTGCTTAGACCCCATGGATCAGAAATCCAAAACCAGAGGAATAGAAAAGTTTGAAAATTTATTTCACCTGATTTATTTAAAAAATCAATATATAAATTTGAGAATACACATATAGTTTTACGGAACAATAATGATCATATTCTCCAAAACAAATTTTGTTTACAATTTTTGCGGATGATAAGTCTCTGAAAGATTTTCTCACGCTGTAGTTTCCCCCTTTTCTTGTTTCTTTTTTTTAAGTCGCAGCTAGTTCTGAAAGAAAATCGAACTGGAACAATAAAAGTTGTCATCTCTAAGTTCTACTTTTAATTTTGTTAACACATAATAAAAATATAAAATAAACACTTGAGGCCTATGTATAAATGAGCTAAAGCGCCACTGTCAGAAGAAACGTGCACCGGTTCTTTTACGTGACAAGGGAAGAAAAAGACGCACCGATCGTTTCTCTTGCTATGCGCGTCTTTCTTTTTTAATCTGACAAGGACTATCTGTTTTTTTTCTACTTCCACAAGGACTCGGTGCACTATCGCTCGCGCTCATTGATCCGCGCGAGTGCATTTATGCAGATTATTATGTGCAATTTGTGTCACATGAGAGAAATGTCGAACGAAAATATTGGCAACTGTTTATCGCATATACAAATGCAACCACTTATTCGAATTGGTCTACATCGAATATATAACACATTAAGATGACGGCATCTCGACGAAACTTAAATATTTTTATGCATAATTTCGTGTATACACAATGCTAATTAATTTGTGTATACATAATATACTAATTAATTCATTGTAAGTTATTAATATAAAAATTAAACTTACAAACTGTGTATATAAATTTGCATTTTGTTTTCATATCTTTAAGTACACGGATGTAGTTGCTTTTCTTAATGTACCGAGAAAAATTGCTGACGCGTGCTATTCATTATGCATTATCATTGTTTATAAAGCCAACGAGGAGAACATTGAGCAGTTAGAAAATTCAAAACACTGGCCTTTAGTTAATTTGCGATGCACTCCTTTATTACCTACACGTCTTATTATACACGATATAACATGCAACGCTGTTGCAAGACAGATGCTTGTTAGACGAGGCTAGTAAGTGCAGCCTACGTTTCTCTTAAATATTAACCTGGCCACCTCCGTATGACAATGAAATAGGAAACACAAATAGTCAAGAGTAACAAGCTATACTTAACTCAGCCAATTCAAGAGAACTTCACAATACAAGGATATTATGTCGTAATTATCTATTGAATCTGTTCTATCAATTTAAAAATACGAACAATAAATCTTTTTTTTTCTCAAGTAACTATAAATTTTACACGTGACTTATAAATTTGTCTTAATAAACTTACGTGCTTTCTCCCTCAGGAAAATGAAAAGGGTTTACAAAATTCGACTATGATAAGATGAAATAAACCTACTTATAGTACACTTGAATTGAAAAATTGAAGAAATATTATTCATAACAATTCATGATTAGAAGGATCGTGATAATTAATACTGTCAATATTTAGGGTATTACTCGAATATTTTAAGAATTTGACAGATAATATGCAAGTCCAATATCTGGATTCGAGTAATACCTGTAATTTTGTATAATGAATAGAATATCCTGAGTATAACGATTACAGGGATTGGTACTGATTGTTGGGCTGTTAGTATTAATAGCAATACACTGTGGGTACAAATGAGTCGCGTTGTACTGTACCTAAAACTAGAACTAAACGTAAGTGTCATTCCGCGAGGAGATTCTAGGATTGCCGAGTGTCGTACGAGGTGGGGCACCAAATGAGAAAGGACTGAGAGCTTACGCGTGCACCATTCATAGTTGTCCACGCAACACGTAATCGCTGGTCCATATAGCAGCCTCCTCATTCGACGCACCGATGTATTGGCATATGCTCGCCGTGTACATCTACGTCACAGTGGAGTTCCGTTGCGAGTGGCATCGTTTCTTCGGCATCTCCATTTTCCCCCCCTATCTCCTCCCGCGTATGTCCTCAGAGAGAAACACGTTTCTAGTCATCGACGCGATCTGTTCCAAGGGTAGCTACTTTGCGCATTCATGATCTGATCTTAATTCCATTGCGGCTAGATAAAGAGGTGTGACGCGATCAGGCCTGCAAGTCGCATTTGCGTGATCACCGATCGCCGATCTCCCGCATTGCGAGGGTGCACGCAAGGTTACAAGGTCACGGAAGTCCATTCGCTCGACGTTCGCGTGAGCTCGCGTTAGGATTGCGAGGACGTAAGCTCCTCCAGAATTCCTAAGTATTTCCTGATACACCATCTTAACGTCACCATAATATCGTGCATAATTAATCTATTTGCCGGGCTAGTTCATCAGTCGAGCTTATTTGATTACGCTTATGCGTGGGTGGAATTTAATTTCCATCAGAATGTCAACTCCCAACGTCTCTTAACTCTCTTTATTAATGTCAATAAATGTCGATGACGTAGCGTTTGGAAACATATAATGAGTCAGTTACGAAGTTTTAACGGCAGCTGTTACAAATGATTACTACGTTATTCGTAATAGTTTTCTTATCTCATACTTAATTAAAAAATGTCCACATTACATCCTTTAGATTCTCTGGATAATTATTAGATGACGGTTCACATACAGGATTTACATCATACATGCAGCACTGAGTGATGTAAAAGTAAGCATAAAATAAAATTGTTGTTTAAGTAGAGAGAAAAAAATTTTCCAAAACATTCTACTTAACATTATTAGTAGGAAATTATTAAAAAATGACAAATGTTTTAATTAAATCATTATTGTAAAAAGAAATTAGGACTATTAATTTGATTAGACAATTGCATTGCCTCACAAGACAATGCAAGATTAGATATTAATTGTAAAATATTCATTTTACTTGAAGAAATATTATCTAATTTATAATGCAAGTATAATTGTACTTTATCTCTTGTTCTTCTCTTACTTTTCTCCGTTTACAGCGTAAATATATATTTATCCCATTTTAAATAAAAAAAAGAAACGAGAATGTTAAGGGGAATAAACACCTTACTGGTATATACGCAGTTCTTGGAACTTAAATGGCTTCACAAAGTGCAACAATGTCGTGCAACTTAATTGCACCGAGCCTAAAATGCCAATGCTATGACAAAGAAAAACAAATGGAAATGTAGAGTGTGTGGATCAGAAAGATGATCTTCGTCACTAGTAATATTCTTCCTTTTTTCTCTTTCTTTATGAATGTCTGTCGCAATTTCTGTCAGGGAGTTCTCCTCTCCTTTCCAAACGAAAAATTTTTCTTCTCACAAGTATATTATAATATTGTCTGTCCATTTTGACTTTTCCTTTCTTTTTTCACCTCTTTTATTTAGATTGACCTTATAATTTTGTTCGGCTATTAAAATGTAAATTCTTTATCTTTACGTATCGGTGCAGAAATAGTATTAATTGTAAGATGAAAAAAAAGTGAAGTAAGTTACCTCTTTTGAGTTTGATTTTTAAAATATAAAAAATTTTCTAAAATAATAATATATAAGTTAAAAGTCCATAAAAAGTCACCCTCTTTGTCTTCACCTCTACTTGCCGGACGTGGCTTAATCAAAAGAGAAGCGCATTTCCCGGAGCTGTCACAGCCGCGTTTTAGTTTACCGCCACTGATCAAGTGCCGCTGCTGCTCCTCGCCTCTCACGTGTTTAATGACATGCAATTTTGCAACGTATCTTTGCCGAGTCCTTGGGCCGGGAAACTATATAAACCGAGTGTTTATAATTGGCCAGGCTAGCCGCCAGGATTTTTAACCAGGCAGGATGTCGTTCTACGCGCTCGCCCTATTCTGCGCAACCGCGTTTGTGCTCGCCGCGGCTCAGGATTTCGAGCTTCGTAAGTCCTTTGTTTAACTATCAATTCCCTTTGTCTGATTTAAGGATTGTTTCTACAACTTCAAACCTCGTTTCAACCTTGTCTGAAGCAAGGAGCAGTTAAGCAGGAAAATTTCAATTAACTTTGAGCAATATTCACGATAACAGTTTTAAATATCACCATTTAGTGTGCGGAAACGTGTGTATTTTTTGGCGTTTAAATTTCATGTGCTATATAATCCGTTTATTTCCAAGTGATCTAAAATCTATTGTGACCATTTGCTGAAGATAAATATTATTCTTTGATAATGTGATACTACATTTCCATTAAATAATTGTACCATGATCTTGGAATTACTTGTATATATGTAATTTTTATTAAAAGAAGCAAATTATATATATATATATATATATATATATATATATATATATATATATAAAATCTCAAATATTAATTTGAACTATTAATCGAATAGTTGAAGTGTTACTGTAACATACACACAATTAAATAATATATGTATACGATTCTTCAATCGAATTTCGATGAATCAGCGATATGCCATCTTACAAACAGATTATGAATTGTGGTGTCACTTTTACAATGTGCTATCGACTCTAGAATCACGCCATGAAATTGTTTATGACCTATATACTACATTTACTTATGAGTCTACGGTTAAGGTAAAAATTATAATTATATAATTATATGAATGATAAGTTACACTACACCAGCTGTATAAATAAAATAAGCAACGCAATTTACAGTGTGTTATTGATATATTAATTATGACGCACATACTACTTTCGCTTTCTTACTCTTTATCCATGGAGAACTGGTTTCAAGAAATTGTAATAACAAAATGAATCATACATTATCACAAAGTAACTCAGATTAGATAGTATGGGCGAATAAAATAATGTTTTAATAGCAGGTGTATTCGAGCGTATAAAGAAGCATCCAAAATAAAAAGAAAACTACATATAAGCGTAGGTTCGCTGCTTTCGTTTCCAAGATACGATGTAAAGTTATTTATGATCGTCACTGTAAACCAGTTTCTAGTTTTTCATAGTAAAGATAAAATTTTGATATACAAAATATAAATCAAATAACACAATAAAAAAAATTACAATCGCGCGTTTTAATAAATTATTTAAATAAAGAATATTGGGCGTATGTTACATAATTTGCGTTAACTTTTTAATAAATGATTTACCATCCTCAACACATTTATTTATGTGTAATCTTGGCAGACTTTTTGATTTTGTTAATAATCTTTCTTTATTTTTTTAAATTTGCAAATTTGCAAAATTGCATTGCATATTTTTTTATTCTAATTTTCAACCGACCTACAGTGTGACACTCGTAAATACATAATTTTGCATCTCTTGGAAAAAAACACGATAAATGTTTTTATATAAACGTTTCACTTTTCTTCTTGGTTTCTTCTATTCCTCTTCGAGATTGTTTGTTGTAATATCCCGCAATATTTTAAACACAAAATCGTTAAATTATATTTATATTTATAATTAAATGGCTAAGTAATTCTGACTGTAAGTTTGCATGCGCGTAGACTTACGTTTACGGTTGAATGGATAATAATTGCATAAGTTTAAACGGTTAATCATATACTTTTACCATTTTTTACACATTTTAACCACTAATTATGCTAATTTCAATAGCAATCTCTCTCCTTTTTGACGAAACACCAAACAAAATATGTTTTCTACGAAAATTGATATTGATCGGTGCACTTTGTGGCTGTGGTTTTACTATCGCGGAAAGGGAACGTTAACATTAACCGCAATAAATTCAAAGCGTGTAGAATTTCCCAAGTTAGTTTACGCGAGATTTTATTACAATGACTCATAATGACAAATATATTCTAATTAAATACTTAGTAGAATTAAAATTTAAATAAAATTAGCATCAAAGATAACGAATGAAAGTGAATAGTATTCAAGTAAAAGGATTAGACTTTATTACTTTTTATCGTAAATACAATAACAATTACAATAAATATTTAATTGTGATAATTATTATTAATACATTTACATACTTTTTCACAGCTGTACAAACCTGCAAACATGAGTCAGATGATTATTCATCTTGCTTGAGACTTGCGATACAAGAAGCATGGCCGAATTTCGTCCCAGGTATTAAGATTGGAGCATTGATAATACTTCTATTTGAATTAGTTAAAATTATTAAATTTTCGTTACGTTTATTATTATTTAAATATGCATAAACAAAGGGAGATATGTAATTATTTAATGTGTTTTAATATATCACGTAATTTAATCTTTCAGGTATCCCGAAACTCGATCTGCCGACCTTGGATCCGTATTTTACCGAACATGAAAGAACCGTGTACGAAACTGACCAATTACGTGCGGACATCACAGTCATGAATGTTAACACCTATGGACTTGCGAAGGCTCAATTCTTGGCTGTGAGACCGCAACATTCCGACAATTTCTTCAAATTGGAGCTTGATGTCGATATGCCGAAAATGCTTATCGAGGGTAATTACAAGGCGGAGGGATCTCTGGGAACTTTCCAACTTGGCGGCGAAGGTATGAAAATTTATTACTTTTAATACTGGCAGTATTTCTAATATACGCATGTACACACGATTGTACCATATAATACATAATACAATTTATTGAAAATAATATTAATAACATTAAAAATACACAAAGAAGACATTATATAACTTACTTTAAATAGATGCATTAATATTTAATTTTTCCTTATATGTATAATTCCGTTATGATTTGACTTTATAGAATTAATTTCTTTATTTATGTTATTGATAAACGGTGATGAAAAGTGTATCTGATTTCGACGTTGCACGTAATATATTTTTGGAATTTATTAGATTGAATAAACAGCGCGCATTAAAATACATGTTTTGTTAATGAGATTTCATGTAAAAGATATATGTATAATATGTTTGATTATCTATCTCATTAGGATTCTTCAACATTAGCATGGAGGACATTAAATCCACAATGACAATAGAAGGGCCCGTAGCTAACGATAGGTGGACAATCGAACATTTCCATCTAAATCCGGAAGTCGGAAAGATGCAGATCTGGTTCAGCGACATGTTCAACGGTAACCAGGAACTTAGTAAGTAAACAATTTCTTGAAAATATTCTTCGGCTGAGAATGCATGCATTTGCGTTGACCTGACTTTCATATTTCCATATTTCCGTGTATGATAAAAAAAATTTCTTTTTTTCGTAAGCTATAAGTTATGACAAAAGTAGACGTGAGATTTGTATTCTCTCGTTCGTTCGTGTCGTAATTGCCTATTTCACTAGCTTTAATCTACTCGTTATATTACTTCGGCAATTCCTTGCTAATTATTCGATAGGAAACTCTGATACGTATTCCATAATCCCTCGTTACATAATGCAGAGAAACTAGTTAATTTGCCTCCTTAAGCATCGACATTCTTTATGATGTGATCGTCACAGCCGTCACAAATTTTCACTTTCAGACGATGCTGCTATGAAATTCGTTAACGAATACTGGCCGACCTTGTATCGCTCAATGCTGCCGTTCCTTGCGAAGAACTGGGATCAACAGCTTACTGATCTCAGCAACCGCGTATTCTCGAAAGTGTCCTTCTCGAAAACGTTCCCTTGAAGCCCCTGAAGATGTTCCTTTCTGCTAGGGCACGTACATAGCATAGTATGATCGAGAGAGAGAGAGGAAGAGGGAGGGAAAGAAAGAGAGAGGGAGAGAGCGAAAGAGAGAAAGAGAGGGAGGGAGAGAGAGGGAGAGAGAGAGAGAGAGAGAGAGAGAGAGAGAGAGAGAGCGCGAGACCGAAAGAGCGCCGAATTTGCAATCACAATTAATTTAGATGATTACTCAAAACCGGCGTAGAAAAGCACGAACTTTCTCTTTCTGAAGTCTACGAACACACCGACGTGATAAGTTTCTCTTTTCACCACACGTACTCCTGATAGTGTTATTTAGATTTGCACGACGTCGACATGCGTGTGAATAGTGCGACAATGGCGAGTTTATTGTACAATTATGTAACGTATAAACATAGATTATTTTTATCATTGTTACTATTATTGTGTTATTGCTATTTCCACTAGTGATTGTACATGTAAAGCACAGACGTAATCAATATAAAAAATAATATAAAGAGTGCTAGATGTATAAACTTAATAATTTTTCCGAATTATTTTCAATTCTCTCGAAAGTTTTCTTTCAAATTAATTATCGTTAATCTAAACACACGCGTTTAATCAACAACGCGTTAATCGTTTATATTACGTAAAATTATTATGTACGTAATATAATAAATAAATAATAATTTATAAATGAACGGAGAAATATAAACAAAACAAACTAATTTTTATCATATATTCATATGATAAAAGGTACATTTGTTTTATTCTATCAATATACCATTAATTCCATTGTGCGCTAAAGCTATAATACCACATCTGAAACTTAACATGATAACGATTTATATATCTCTGTTTACTACAATGTAAGCAACAATTACTATCAACATATATTTCTTTTGTAGGAAAATATCAACGAGAATTATCTGTTATTAATCTTTGAACAGATTTGTATGTTCTCCTCAGAGGCAATTTATCCAATTCCTGATTGGTGGACCAAACAATTAATATTTTGTTTTCATGAATAAGCACGTAATTATAAAAATAGCATATAAATATTGTGTCACTTGCATTTAATTATCTGTATTTAAAATTGTGATGTTTATAGATAAATGATTAGATGTAATATACACTGTATTAACTTTGTCTATTAAAACAGTGACATTTTTCTAATTGCGTCATTTAATTTTGTCTTAAAGCCATTTTTGGAAAACATTTGTGTATTCCAAGTATCAAAATAAGCTCAATATGTTATTTAAAAATTAAAAGTAACTTAAATGCGCATGTTCAAATATTGTGTTTTTCTTTTATCTTTTTCTTTTAGAAAAGTGCCTGATAAGTCGCTGCTCTAATTGCTGCATTATTTAATTCTCGTGCATATTTAAAATCTATCGTTGATATCAATCACAAAGACCTAAGAATAACTAAGATGTAATATAAATGTTTCAAGGTACAAGGAACGATTCCACTGGTACATGTCGCAGCAGCTGGTTAACAATGCCAGCAAAGAGCGCCGATAATTTCTTCTTCAGTTGCGGCTCCATTAATTTTAATACTTCTTGTCCATTTTCACGAAGGAAGAGATTAATCGCTTCGGCTGTAAGAATTAAGAAGCAAAATCAAAAAAATTTAACATACTTTTCCAATGGATATGTGTGCCTCATGAATAATTATCGACTATGTTTACGCAATCTGCTTACTCAGTATTCGATTGTTCTTGAAGATCTTGCTGACTCGCATTTGCACATCCTTTACACCAAGCACGACGTCAAGGTTATCGACGTTCAAATACGTCTTTTCCTCTCGCGACTTCGTCGAGACTGTTCCTCTGACTAGTGCTCTAGCATCTCCGAAACGCGCGTGGAATGTACCGTTTCCACTCGCAGGCAAAATTATTAATATACCAGAACTATAACAAAGGATGAAATTTGAATAGAGATGCCAATCAAATGCGAAAAAAATACAAGTATTCAAATGATATGCTTTTTACAATCTGTCATGAAATAAAGTGTTTATCGCTTATAAAACAAATCAAATGTCGGATATTATGTTCTCCAAAATAGATACAATTTTTATTTCTATGCATATTATATTTGAAAATTTACTTTATACTTTATATTTAACTTGTATATTCTTCCTTCTTCTTTTAATAAACGGACAGTTACGTAATTTGCGTACCTGGAATAATGCGCGTCTAATATAAGGGCCGGCATTCGTATTATGGCTTGGAAGGGTGAGCCGATCTTAATATTCTCCACTGTATAGTTACTTGCTCCCTTTACATAAAGGTCCCGTAGTTGAATCTTATAACCGTTCGTACCACCTGTCAGGGAGAGAGTCAGTTCGTCCATCTGTTGGAATAAACAGAATATGAGAATGTTAACCGATTTACATAAATTAGGACTTTCATTTTATATATGTATCATTTTAGATCTGTATCGTTGCATAGTACAAATTATTAAGTCTGATTTTAAATTCGCCAGATTTAACAGGTGCTTTAAGAAATGCAAGAGGGGCATAAATACATAATTCTTTTTGTTGCTGTAATATATATGTGTATAAATTTAACAAACTTTGAAGTAACAAATGTGTAGCATCTATTATTAATAAAAACAAATAAATAAGAATAAGTAAAAAATGTAGGTAAATATCTACCTGCATTATAATATTATGGGTAAAACATTTTTTACTTAAGTGCTTTTTTTCTTCAGAAGAAATGTATCGATATAAATTATATTAAATATAATAACGTGGGATATTCACAATATTGTTTGCATTCAATTGTAGGTATAATTGAACTTACACGGAACGGTTCTACCGAGGGTAACTCGATTTCGGGTATTCCAACGCTCAGATAAGGTCGCAGGTGGTGCAGAGCGTCGATCAGACAAGTTATCAGCTTTGGATCGCTTTTGGAACATTGTTTCACATATTCGGCTACGAGAATATGTTATTATACATTTATCGGCTGTATATTACTTCAGCATGTACTGCTTATGTTAGTCACATATGTTCTATTGCTCCGAATGTGCAGTAATTATGTGCTCTTTGAATTACTTCTTCTTTGTGTCTTTTTACAAAGCAGGAGAAATTTGACGTTCTAGATCATATAAGTAAAAGCGTCAATGAAAGTAAAAAGTGTGTTAAACTCTAGTTGCGTTAAAAGTGAAAGTAATATCTCGTGATGAAAATGCACCTTCAAGAATAAGTATTACAAATTGGCACAGCTGCAAGAGGTTACTTATGCTAAGAGCTCTTTTTCAGATGTTTTTTCTAATGCTTTGCAAAATTAGGTCACACTAGTCAATAATTAGTGTTGCGTATATTGAATAGTTTGTCCAATTAGAGCAGCACACCTGTACATGTACACACACTGCACGTATTCAAATATCCATTACAAATAATTTTATTTTAATTTGTTTTTTATCGGAGCGCCGTATAATATTTCTTTATAATGTAAATCTACAAATAAATATTGACGGTAATTTGAAATTAGTTATATGATAGGCTTGCTAAATTGAAATAAATAAAGGCACAAGCTTGACATTTAAATGGAACTTTGATATTTGATTACAAAATGTGCATAGTAATTTCTGCGGAAACAAAGATCCGGCCTTTGCGACAGTATAATGCTATTGCGTGCAGAAAATTACACGTAATTTGAATTAGAAATTTTTCCATTATTACAGAAAAATATTTTAGCATCTGGAGGAACAATTCAATGTTGTCACAATTTTTTAAACCATAGACTGCGTCCTATTTCTCGAGTTTTTTTTTATGTCTTGTCTTCAATTAACAGTGAATTTACTTGGCGCATCTTTTTAGCATAATTGGATTTGTAAACAGTAACTAATTAAAAATTATTACACTATTTATTCATTGTAATAAAACTACTCGTTCTTGCTGATTCAAATTCAAGCATTTATGAATATTCGGCGAAAATATTAAAGGCGCTGTCGTTAAAGTCGCAGAAAATGTTTTGATTACTCACGGCTGGTGTCGGAGGAGAGAGTTGCCGTGCAGCCGACGACAAGGAGGATGGTCCATAGCCTTTTATTCATAATTTTTAAGGCAGCCGCGACGACGACGATGAAAACGAAAGTTTCGCGAAAGTTTCGATTATTGGTATCTGTAGTAGATATCCACCTTCGCGAATACCTGTTTCTGAAGTAAATTGCGAGGATTTTATCGCGAGCAGGTATCCACCGGACACAACGACGAATTCAACTGAAGACCCGAAACGCGCGATAAACGGCACTGTTAGAATAAGACTGGCTATGCAAGAGAGGGCATTGACAGGCGACAGATCGTAACTGCACTAGCGGATACTTTCACTGCTGCAACATGCATACACCTGCGCCTCTTTCGTCGTCTGCAACAGCAGACGAGTCTTATCCAAACCGTGGAGACGGCTAGACGAAAGTACCTTGCCTAGAAGATACGCTATGATGTCTGTGCTGTGTCTCCCGTGTATAAATCATTGGTCACCGCACGCTCACATGATGAGAAATTTGCAGCGGTGCTTTGATCATGACGAAAGCATATTGCATGTACAAATCGGCGTTATAGGCACAATTCTCTGTAGAGAATAAACTTACACGAGCATTGAAGAAATTGAACACATTTTGCGAATTAACCTTCGATTATAGGTTACTTCCAGAATTTGATATGTTAAACAGTAGAAGATTAGACAATGAGCTTTCCTGTGAGCTGAGATTTTTATTAGTTTTCTAGATAAATTTTAATACACTCTGATACTTTCCTGCTCAAAATATGGCAAGAAAAATCTATTTCTGTAAAAAATTATAGGTACAGTCATAGAGATAAAACGAAATCAACTTTCCAGTCTCGGCAGCAAATCTATTAAAAACAAAGTTACGTTTATGTATTATTAAAATTTATCTTAATAGAGTTTATTCAGAATATTTTTTGGTAAAATAAATATATTCAGTTGACTTTTACCGAATATCTTGAGTTGTGTAAGGAATTTTATGTTCTATCTGCTTTCAACGTTAAAAAAATTTAAACTTACTCCATTTTTATTTTAAGTCTTTCTATCTTACAATTAGCCTATTATAAGTAATATCTTTATTGAAAGTTTTGTATACAAATTTTGAATGCGAAACCTTTAATATTTTTAATTAACTTCTGCAAAAGTTATTTTTTAGAGAGGATCGCAAGAATATTGTGTTTATACATTTTTCTTTTATTCAGAATGAATAGATGGCCTAGATTCGTGGCATAAATACGCAAAGCTGCAACGATAGTGAAGTAAGACAATAATCTTATATGCAATATGTAAACAACAGATCGGCGTTGATAAAGTACAATTGTGGAAGCAACGGGGTAAAAGTATAGCGTATTCTGTATGATGTAACGAATCATTTGCATTCGACTACAATTAAGCCATTTGCATTATGCAATGCGATTTCGGTAGAATGAACATGTCTTCTGTGATTTACGTTATATTATCATAGACATTTGGAAAGTATTTAAATTCGATAGTATTTCTTGACATTATAAATATTACGATAACAAATTATAACGTTACAAAATGTTATGATAACAAATCGTTAATCACGTACGAGATAATAATAAGACAGATAGGAAAAATGTTCCATTTTTATTATCTGTGTAAAAATGTTTTCATTATCTTTATCAAAACTTTTAGCATTACAATGTTAAATAAAATCATTAAAAATCATTAAAAGTCGTTAGCATTAAAAATTAAATAAAATGATAAAATCTTAAAATAACTTTCGAAGAAGAAGTTAAATTTAAAAAACTAAAAATTTCTCGGCTTTAAAATTGTTATATTAATTCGTTAAATCTTAAATATTCGTTAAATCCGTACGTACTTCTCTAGCAAATCTTATACAAAAAATCTTTGGTTTTTATTCCAGCTCAAAGGGTGAGGGAGCTTCGTTTTCGCCCGTGGGATGACTTCCGCAAAGAGACACTTTGGATCCATGGCTCTGGTGCCGCCATTTTGTTGAGGAAGAATTTATAAAAAATTTTTTATACCTCAATATATAGAGAAGAAATATGATTAAACAGATTTTTATTTATATTTATTATATTCCTGAAAGAAATCACCGAAGATTGGCTTTTTTGGGTCTCTAGAGTGTTTTTAGAACTTTGATATAGAAATTTATTTCTACGAATCCTTGGACAGCTGCAAAGAATATGATTACCGTTAAAGCATGAATGCATCATGGTTATCTACGTGCAGGAGTTTAGGCTAACATACTTATACGCGGAGAGAATATTCTCTTAAAATTTACCCTGAAAATCATGTAATCGTGAGACAACATAGCGTTTTGAAGAGTTTTATATAAATTTTTGACAATTTTACCATGCATCTTACTAAAATGTGTGGTAAAATTTCCGAAAACTCTCATAAAATTCTTGGAAATGCCATGTTGTCCCACGATTACATGATTTTCAGAATAAGTTTTAAGAGAAAATTCTCTCCGTGTACATATAGTAACGTTAAAACTTGTAATATTGAAAATTAAACTTTAAATATTAAATATAAAAAAAATTTGAAGTCAAATTATTTAAAACTCATAATCTTTCTCATAAGCCTTAATTATGTCGTGACGTTGAATAATAACAAATATTTTATACATATGTATAATGTCAGATTTTAATAATATATATTTATAACTATAATAATAACAAACATTTTTAGAAGCTGTTGATATAATTTGATTGGTCATGTTATTTGAATTAATAAATATTATAGTTGACAATATAAGTAACTGTACATGTTTAAAAAAACAACTTATAAAAATGAATTTAAACGTATTTTCAGAAAATCTTGAAAATATTTTTAAATGTATTTTGATGAAGTTTTATAAACATTTTCTTTAATGTTCTTGAGACGTCTTTAGAAACGCGTAATGTAAGTATATGAATAAAAAATATTTTAATACGTTATAAATAACAAAAGTTGAAAGTTTATCTTCTTTTAGAAGGATTAATTTTACTTTACACGAGTGATAAATGATATTTATAACAGAAGTGTGTAATTTGTGAAAGAACGTTTTATATGCACGTCCGGTTGCTTGCATATGGTTGACTCGTATAATATCTTTGTAAAAAATGTATCGCCAAGGAAGAATGCAACGAACCCTTGAAACTAGTATTTCTCTCTTTTGTTGTTTTGTTCGAGGATTCCTGCATAGTGTATAAAGCTGGACGAGAGCACATCGTCGCAGAACGATAGCCACGTCTGGTACCTCACTTTGCTGAGTTAACATCTTCAGTATTTTAAGATTAAACTTCGTAAAGGTAAGCAAAATACTAAAAATATTCCAATGTTGTGAAGGCTCTCCAAAAAGAAATTGTATGGAACGCGGGAAAAGTGCCAATGTGTGAGCCACAAATGAACGGAAGACGGTTCTCACAAATTTAAAAATAACTTCTGTCTTTAATATAAACGTTTCGACCTTTCGGGTCTTCTTCAGTATAACTCGTTAAATTATGGTTCAAGAATCATTCTTCTATCATGGTCTCATTTTTCTCTAAATGTTCCCGGACATAAAGAGGACTGGAGACACGTCGACAGAGATGAATCCGTTATAAAGGTTTTAACACGACTGTTAGAGAAAAATGAGACCATGATAGAAGAATGATTCTTGAACCATAATTTAACGAGTTATACTGAAGAAGACCCGAAACAGGGTCGAAACGTTTATATTAAAGACAGAAGTTATTTCTAGATTTGTGAGAACCGTCTTCCGTTCATTTGTGGCTCACACACATTGGCACTTTTCCCGTTCCATACAATTTCAAAATACTAAAGTTATAAATATTCAGAATTTAAAACATAGATTAAGCATTATACATATATTCAAATCATTATTCAAATTTTTAAGTTGTGCCGTTTGACTTTTAATGAGCTGAGAGATTGTTGTGCAATTTAATTCAATTTCGAAATTTCTGTAATAGAAAGTCGATGCAAATTACTTGCAACGCGTAGCATCATTAGGTAATATAAAAACACCATTTAATTTAAATAGAAAAATTTATATTTTTTTATATGTTCCGCAACTACACAATAAAATAAACAAAAACATATGTATTTAAAACATTTAGTAGAATGTAGAGGAATGTTTTCCATAGTGGAAATAATATTAAAAAAGATGATCAGCCAGCCAAATTTTCCTTTATTAAAATCGATAAATGTTAGAAAATAGATTAATTTTTGCACGCTAAAAGTTCTAATTATTTAATTTAACATATTTGTGTAATCACAAATAATGTAAAACTAATTAAGTATTTCTTCTAATCCCGAATATAATAAAACTCACTTTATTTATAATCTAGAAAACTGATAAACCGTATATTCAATTATTAGCAAATTTAAACCATGCTTGTAATGACGACAAACTTTAATATATTTTTGCAAAAATATGAATAATTTTCTATTTTAATAAATTGTTTAATTTAATTCGTATTTTGTATAGTATTTAGTATAAAAGCTTAGAAAAGGAATAATATTTAGTAAATATAAATTGTAAGGGAATAGCAAAATATTTTCAGTGCAATATTACGTGTGTTGAAATGCTGTACTGTAGATACGATTCTATAACCGACTGAGAATTGTTCTGCTGTTAACCGCGCGATGTAATATTAGGTAATCTGCGGCTCAACCCGCGTTTTCTCTCTTATATCGTTGACGCACGAGAAGAACGCAGAAGAACTGGTCCAAATATCGATGTAAAGGGAAAGAACTTTGCGCGATATCTCCCACTCGAATACAACACATACAGTCCTCCTCCCCGATAGTTTCACCGATGAAATTACGTAAAATATCTACCAAAATTTCACGACTCGGAAGCAGTTCGCTAACCCTTCTCTCAGATGTATCGCAAACAGTGAAAGTGCGTGGTACGCGCTCCTCGTCCGCGTAATACTATACAAGTGAATCGCCGTCCCCAACGTTCCTGAGTATCGATACATATCAAGGTGTTTTCTTTTGCTTGCTTCAGATTTATCGAACGGACGAAGAAAGAAAGAGAAAACAAAGAGAGATGCAGCTAAGTGCTTTGTTGCTTGCGCTACTGTTGTGTGCTTCAGTTACTGGTGATTTCGGTAAGTAACTCCTGGTGACTTGAACGACCACATGTGCGATAAACTCCGACGCCGGTATAATTTCAATGCTCGGTCAGTACCGATACTGTCTCGGTATAAGGAAAACGCAGCAATCACAACAAGGCCAACAGATTCTTACCCAGTGAGAAATGATTCGTTGAAGTGATACCGATTCGACATCAATTTGACGATGCCGATGTCGATTCGACATCGTTTTGGCATCGATCAACGAGTCATTGCTCGCTGGGTAACAGTCAGACAAATTCACCAAATGTTTGATGCGATACTTACGTGAAAAAATTTCTCTTTAAAATTCTTTTGATTGTCAAAAATAGCATAAGCACTTACATCGCGTATCAAGTTAAGAATTACGTGATCGAGCATTTTTTAAAAAAGAGTATTGTGACAGTATTTTTTAAAGTAAAATGTGGGAAATTGTAAAGAAATGATCCAAATCATGTCTTTCAATAGAAATGGACATACCATTCGTTTGTATATTACATAATGTAATATCCTATTTTGTAATAAAATGCAAAGCATGGGAGTGAGATGTTCTCAAGGAATGCATAATGCTATCAAAACCGGAATACCTTGAAGTGAAAGTTATATTATGTGCGATTACGTGTGTGCACTCAATGTTAATTCGTATATGTATATTATTATTCAATGTTAAAATATATTCCTATAGTAATCTGTAAACATTATACATATTCGCTAATTTCGTTCAGTTATTATAAATAGATATTACAAATCTTGAATAGATATAAATAGATGTTACAAATCTTGAATTTTGTACAATTTTCTACTTTGTTTCAATCAGAGTAAAATGTATGAAAAAATATATTAATTTCAATTAATTGTAATTAAATGTTACACATTTATCTGCTCAATTTTTTTCACAATGTATATTTAGGATGGATCAATTATACATATGTATATTGCTAAATTGCTATCAATTATATGTTTTAGATGACAACTTTAAAAATTGTCATCCCAACGTATCAGGTTTTGATGTCTGCGTGCGAGAGGGATTAAATGCGATTCAGCCTTATTTCAAAACTGGTTTACCGAATTACAATGTGCTCCCGTTTGATCCCTTCTTTGCCAAAGAGATAACGGCCACAAGAGGGATACCGAATTTTGGCTTTACTTTAATTCTTCGAAATGTCACTGAGACCGGATGGTCTAATAGTAAAGTGACAAAATTCGTTTCTGATTTGAATAATTACAAGGTACATGCACTGTTCGTCGATGTAATTATAGATTAGATACAAGGTAAACGTAATATGTAATTATATGCCATCGGAGAATCCGTTACTTACATATTATATATTTTTAGCAATTTAATATGTAGGTCTTATACCACATACGTTGCATTAGAGATGAAAATCGTATACTAAAAATTAATGGCATATTATTTTCTTTATTTGATATTTAATTTTTATTATGGAAAATGTAAATGGAAGCAGCAATATGGGTGACGAAATCACTAAACGAAACATTGCATCAATTAGGTTGTGTACACGCAAAGTTTCCCAGAGAAAATGCTGACGGGTAATTACGAATTTAAAGGCACATGCTTCAGCTCTACTATAACGAATAGAGGAAAATTCACGCTTATTTTGTGTAAGTGCTATTAACAAACTTGTATTCTATTTAAATTTATTATAAATCTGGTGCACAATGTAAAAAAAATACAATTTTCTCCTATTAATATAAGAGAAATATAAAATATAGTTGCAGTAAAAAAAGAACAAAAATATTAAGAACGTTTAGCCTTTGTAGCTTTACAATTTTTTCTCATTGTAGATGATCTCATGCAAACAACCACCGTGACCAAAGTGCCAGGACATAAATTACGGGCTCATATAGACGTACAGACCATCAGTAATTTGAAGCTTCACGTGACAAATCTTCTGTTTGGAAAGAGATTCTTTGAGAATATTCTTGATAAAATAATTAATTACACATGGCAGCCAGGTTTTGTGCTGACGAGAGGTCTGATTAACGAACTCGTTTCGACCGCTTTCACAGAGATCTTCGACAACGCCTTTCGTAATTTTCCCTTTGGGCAAATTTTTAAATCAAAAGAGCCCATAAACTAAATTAATTTGAGGTATGGTGCGATTAAATCGATAAAAGTAAATCAATCTTTCAATTACGAAATAATGTGTTATTAAGTGAGTAGATAATGTATCTGCCGTTTTGTAAGCAATCTGTCTATAAAACCGTTACGGGAGACCGAAATTTATCCGGAGTAAATTTCGCGCAACTCTTGTTACGTTTACAATATTTACATAATCATATGATATTCATTATATATGAATTGTGTATGAATTAGCACGTAAGAGAAACATATGTGTGGCATACTACAATAAGTATAAATATATGTTTGTCCATTTGTACAGTCTGCGCACTTTTGTATTATTACATTATTGCTGAAGAATTTGTCGTCATCTTTTATTTAATCTGAATTAATATATATCTTAATAATTTATCATTATGTTTTTTTTTGTATGCCGTCATGAATTCTTACACTTTCTACCGAGTGCTATAAAAAAAGGTAAGCGTTTTAATAGCAGAATAGAGTGGTGTTTTGCTCTCAATAGCTGCTTGCCTTGAACGCGTGGAAAAACATCCTCAAACAACATTGGACCGAAGGACTTTGATTCGTATTAATCATTATTATAGTCAATGCTAGTTTTAATGAACAGGCGAGTTAAATTCACATCGGCCGAAATAATTTTCGTGTCCTCCAACTACGTTTATTTTCACAAATGCAAACCTTCTTTTAAAGCCAAAGTGACGTTCATTAAAGGAAAATGCAGAATACATGTATGCATGTTGCATATTCACGAATAAACGGACTAACTGCGATACAGTGAATCTTAATCTAGGTAAATATGATTTTTTCTTGACATAAGTCTAAAAGATTTGCACGTTTCTTAAAGAAATATTGGAATAATGTTTGCGCCTTGTGGCGTGAGCTTGTGCTCGTGCGTATCTGAACAGTCTTTTTCTCTTCTTGGCTTGTGCCGAGTGATTTCTATTTATGCAATACTTAATTGGGTAATATTTAACGAATTTGCCTTTTCTTTTTGTGAGCATCCATTAATTAGTCCGAGAAGGAAATCAACAAGGGCAAAACAGAGTGAGAATAAAAAAGGAAGTACGATTATGGCGCGCTCTCTTTCAGGGACGCATGAATAATGGACGCCGCCGGCAAGGGTATAAACAAATAAATCGCAAGAAATTAAATAAATTAAAGAGACAAAGTGTAACGCGTACAAATAATTTTAATTTCAAGAAGTTGCACGAATTAAAATATTGTTAAATTTTTAAATATCATATTGCGTGTAATAAATTTATGAAGGTTTAATAAAACTTGCATACAATAACTCATATATGAAAATTATGTTAGTCAATAAAAAAAATAATAGACTGCAAATGTTTGTGTGCAAATTTGCTGCATCGTTTTTATTGTTATTTGAATAAAATGAATAGGATTTTATAAATTAAATTCTTCAAAGCTTTATGAAACCTCGTAAAACTAGCAAATAAAAATATCACGTTTACAATTGCTACAAGTGTCGTTTTCTGGGGTTAAAGTGTAAACTCAGCCTTTTCATTTCGTTTTTTCCTCACGTTTGAAGGCAGGAAGTACGACCGGCGAGTAGTGACGATCTTCCGTCGACATATGCGTGAGCAAGTCGGAAACGTGACTTAAAACGAATGTGAACAAGACGATTAACGGTGCTTAACATTCTCTTACTCCTCTTTCGACTGTCCTATGACGTCCACTGTGACGTCTGTCAAACGCCTTTCTTTCTCCCGTCTTACTCGTCACTCATTTTTATGCGATTATCAATACGGCAGTCGAGACATCTCAGATTTAACTGTTATCATTTTATCATACTTTCAAGTGCAGATTATGCGTTCACATACTTAAATTGCGCAATTTAATAGATCAATCAGTTACATCAACAGGTCGTATTCGATTTATTGCGAACATTTTACCAATACGCGATGTACTTGATTCGCCTAATTATCCGATTTGCTTATTATCTGCGGAGAAAATCGCTTTTTCTGTACCTTTTCCAATCATTAAACGCGTACCACTTTAAAATTACTAGATAAAAGAAGAAAGTTATAAACAAACGTCGGCAATTATTGGGAAAGTAAGCGCATAAATTAATCAATGGTCTCTTCGTCTCCTTCATTGGCTCCTGGGCTGCTCATTAGAGCAGCCTTACAGTGCACATAGATTATTGCGGTTAATTTAAAATTAACGTTGGTAAAAGTCATGAAGAACCTTTCATGAATTTTGCGCCGTTTCCTTCATCTTTTTGCATCTAAGAAAGTTGATTGGCGAAATCTATATAATGACAATGGCATGATTTCGTTTGTCGTCCCACGCTGTTTAAAAAACGACTTAATTAAAATTTATCTATATGAAAAATATAAATCTGACTCCAGATCAATTGAATTGCAAATCCAGATGTCCAGATATAATTAACAAAATTATAAGAAATGTATATCATTGAAAAAGGACATTATATTTTTTCTGTAATAATTTGTTTTGCATCTGTACATTTTATACAGCTTCGAAGGACAAAGAGTGCACGCCGAGTTGATGTCCCGTTTAAGGTTCGATACTTTTCTTTTTCTTCGTCCTCAGTGTCGGCATAGCGGGGGCAATGTCAAGGTGGCCTATAAGACCTGGCGCATCTCTGCCCGTTGATCATTTCTCGTCGAGAAACCTGATCGTTTCACGTAGTGCGTCGATAGGTAATATCAGTTGATTGTAACGAAGAAAGGAAAGAAAATATTAGCAAGCTACCAAAGATGAGGAACGCTCTACTATTGTGTTGTGTGTCGCTGCTGATTGGTGCCCAGGCTACTGGAAAATACAGGGGCCTAGAATTTTTAGAGCCCTGCTCAAGGAGCGATTCGAAATTGGAAGCCTGCCTTGCCAGAACGGCCAATACTCTTGTCGAACGCTTCCGTTACGGTAAGGATGTCAAGGATTGAAAACAATTTACATATATCGCGCCTTCGAAGTTTTTATTTCTCACGTAGTTCTTTGGTAAAACTCTATGAGACGAAGACACATGTTGTTATTGTAACCTAAATATCCTCCGATTTGTCATTCAAGTTTTTAATGATGATATATTCCATATGTTAGAAGACCTTATTTAATTTAAATATAAAAAAGAAATTTGAAATATTAAAGCTATATGATGAAATTAAAATCTTTTTAATTGTTGACTTTTCAACAATATTTAAAATAATAAAGTAAAACAACAAATTGAACGTATCAAGTGTATTTAGTTGTTATTTTTTTTAATAATAATCTAATATCAAAAAGAATAAGAAAGTTTTATACATATATATAAACACAAATGTTATTAAATCGAAATAAAATTGATAAAAAGACCAATCATCGTGTATGTACTTTGTAATATTTTCCTCTTTTTTATTAATTTTATTTCGGTTTAATAACATTTGTGTTGATTGTAATTATGGCTGGTATGTCTTGAAGCACCTTAGAAGAGCTGAAGTACAGTTCAGTCTACCGGTTCTTGCCATACCGAGTGAAGCCTCAGATGATAGGAATTTGCGGTTGATCGAACTATATTACCTGAGCATTTCTCTGTTAATTTCTTCACTTCTATGTTTTTCTTTAGCTTACACTGTCAGAAATATTAATAATTTTTGCAAACTCTATTGTTATATGTTTTTAAATATAGCTAAAAAGTCAAATAAATTAAATAAATAACCTTTCTATTACTTGAAATAACCACGCTGGAGAAATTGATATAATTAATAGTTTTGATTAATAGCTTTGCCATTAAGTGAGAAGAAAATGATACATTTTTACTTATTTAGAGAAATCGTGCTGTTTGAAATTTTATGAGCGTATGACAAGCATTTCTCAATTTTTATTAATTAAAAAGCGGAATGTATGTTATTCTTCTAATACGTTATTCTTTTAATTGTAATAAATATACATCTAATCTAGCTACAATTAAAACATCTGTAGTAAAAGCAAAGAAAATAAATAATTAAAATTATTAATTCTTATGATATTATTGTTTTATGAAAAAGTACATTTGAGTAATATATCATGTATCATAATTGGTATATTCTCGCTTTATGTCCTGAAAAAGCAATTTTTAACATACTGCAATGGTATGCTTTTTGGGATAAATGTAACATAATAATACATATGATTTGTGTAAATAAACGGAAAGTTGAAAGTCTGGGACGAACCGGTTCCGTAACCACGTGGTTTTGTTAACGATCAGTACATTATAACGGTGTATTCGAATGGTCACCCAGTGTCCTACATTCCACTCGTATTGTACGATATTGCTCGGGTACACCTGGAGCCAATAGCTTTCTTCAAACATGCTAGCGGATGAAAAGTTACCGAAGTCATTTTTGGAAGCAATAAACTTCTCAAATATGGATTACAAAGAAGTAATTATAATTTAAGTATCAAACAAATTCTTGAAGAATGAAACATTCCAAAGATAATCACGCGATATTTATTGCACTGAGGGAATTTATGTCATTTGTGGTGAAGTCACATATTACGACGTTCTAATTACACTGCGATTGCAGGCTTACCGCAACTGGGTTATCCAGAAGTGGAGCCAATTATTCTCGACGAGTTGCATATCGCACTCGGAGGCGGCCCGAACGGTTACAGGGCGCAATTCAAGAATATCACCGCGAGAGGAGTCTCTGCTCTGCGAATAACTGGTCTTAGGACTAGAATGACTGACGATGAGGTGCAACTGCAACTGGCCTTCAGCATTCCGAGAATTAGAGCGGCCGCCAAATACCGGTCTAGTGGAACTTTGATCTTGGTGCAAGCAAGTGGAGCCGGAGATTATTGGGGTGAATACGGTAAGTCCGCTAAAAATATATAATTAATTAGCTACACTGATAGAAAAAAATGGTTGTCTCACTATAATTTATAGTCATTTTAGGAGCCAACCAAATTTTTCTAATTCTTCCAACTACGTAAGTTATGGTTGACCTAACAATGTATAGTTCTCATAGACACAATATTGATCCATGCAACTTATGATATGGTTGTCATAAACCAAAACAAGCTTTTAATTTGGTAAGGTGTACTATAAATATTGCAATAACAACCACAAGTAAAATTTCGAATAACTATATGTAATAGCAATAATCGTATTTATATTGCAAGTAATATTCCCCGTTTTTTATTACATATACATTGCGTTCACTATGTTCGTTGATTACATCACTTTGCACTCATAAAGAATAGTACAAGTAAGAATTTTTCAAAGGAAAGATAAGTAATCTTCTACGAATGCATAAGCTTATCCGTATTTATAACCCTATGCGGTTTTCTTCTTACGAGAAAGTCTTATACCGGATAGAAATGTAGTTAAATTTATTATTATTGTGATTGTATTCACTATATAAAAATAATTAAATAACTTACTATTCATTACCTGGATAGTTTAACAGAGTAATAGTTAAAAGCTTATATTCTATAATAAATTTTTTAAATAGTTGGCATTACTGTGTCTATATAGTTGCCATTACTAATGTTATAGTAATAATTACTATAAAAATAATATTCCTGACTATAATTATTTTACTATGCAATTATAGTTTCAAATACTAGATATTTTTCTATCAGTGTATAAATAATTAGTTACTCCGCGAGCGTAATCTATTGCATTAGCGTACTAATCGTCCTAAGATATTATTGCTCCCGTAAGAAAGAAGAAAGCACCACAAGAAGCATATAATGTTTTCCAATGAATCTTCGATCAAGTGAAATGGCACTGGTGCAAGTATGTCGTGACAGCAGTAACTTTCACTTTGCGCAGTGTATATTTATTGTCAACAAACATCACTCGCCGTGATAAATGCCATATGTAACGTCAAATAATTGTATTCCAAAATAACAATAGGTTGCGATGTGGGCAATTTTCAATACGTACTGAAAGCAATGTTTTATTTCAAACGCGCAATTATTTAAGAATGTTATTACATAAAGTATCAATATGTAATGAATGATTAGAAGTTAATGAGAATTACATTCTAAGATCCCATGTAAAAAATATAGAAATTTTTTATAAATTACAGATTCTTTAAATGCTGCTTACAGTTTTGTGTCTAATGCTGTACTGAACTGATTTATATATGGAAATCCCTGCTATGTTAATCATAGCATTAAGTCCTTTATAAATGGCAATGTGATTTATTCTAACACATACACACACATGTTGTAAAAGAAATATTCTTCAGAGAGAAATCACAAAGGATACCGCAACATTCTCTTTTGAATAAGTCACTGTTATTTGCGCCTTCTTAAGGTTAACACGATGTACGATTTTCATATCTTCTACAACGATTGTATTCTGAGCCAGAGAATATTTATTTAAATATCTTTACAATACTTTCGTAATAGTGAGAAGAAAATCTTGTAATATTAATATTATATTTAAAAAATGTTTATTGATAATTAATCCACACCCACACAGTGAATGTATCGCAAAGCATAAGATATGATGGGGATAGTATATTAGACTACTCTTGGTATATTCTATGAAAGTACAGACTGTTTAAATGATATCATTGTTGTTAGCGCAGTATACAAACATCTATTTACAACACATTTATGTAGTAAAACAGTTACTACAGCTAACTTACAAAGTATATTAAAAATTAATTTTCAAAATAATTTAAACAACTTATTAATGGCGGCCACTCTCCAAGATTAAACCAAAGTATGCAAAATTAAATCAAAGTATGCCGTTAGCACGGACGTCGTATTATAATTTTTTTTAACGCGAAACTAGTATCCTTTCTTTCATCTGTCACGATTTTACTCAAATTTTTTCGTTTTCTTTTTCCAGATAGTGTCAAGGCTAAGCTCTTCATCAGAGCAAGACCATTTTTGTATGAAGGCCGTCTTTACCTCAGATTGCAGCAATTAAAAATGGACTTCAGCGTAGGAAATATCAGAATGGGAGTCGAAAACGTGCGCGACACTAATAGTATACTGCGTAAGTTCTAATTTCTGTTTATAATAACTTTCAGATTGTTTCTTGGGTTAGTATGCAATTAAAAAGAATAAAAATCTCTATAATCCTAACAGTGCAATAATATTATGACGACACGAAATAATATAACAATATTGTATGACTGCAAATAACAATATATATGTATTTAAATATATCTCTGACTAAATAGAAGTTTATTATAAAATTGAATCAAAAGATTGAAAGATCAATACGAGCTAAACGTAATAAACATCAGAAAATTGATATGTAGGATATTCTTCATTAACGTGTTTAAGAAATCTTGAATCTCATATTTATAAAAGAATTTTTTATAAATCTTGAATCATATTCTAATATTACTTTTGTTTCAGTGGCGGCGCTCAACCTTTTCATCAATACCAACAGCCAGGAATTATTGAAGGAAATGAAACCAGATCTGAGGAGGAAGTTGGTACAGGTGATGACGACTTTCGTGGAGAACCTTTTTGCTCAGGTGCCGTATGACGCCTGGATTAAAGATTAAACAATCGGATGACAATTGTCGAGAGCAAAACCCAATCGTTTGCGTCATTAGTGCACTTTTAAACTGCGACGCAAGACTTAGCGCAAGAAGAAAACATTATTATCTTGCACAGTCACCTCTGAGTCACAATGAAAATCCCGAATAACAAAAATGTCTGATTATTTTCAATCAGCATTTACAAACAAGAAGAGCTTTCATGAAAAGGTTTTCACGCAATGATCGATTGTCTTTTCATTCTCGCATGTGAATTGCCTGAATGGCAATGTGCAACTGCAGAGATTAAATAATTATGCTGCATATACAGGGTACTTCGTAACTCAAAATTCGAGCGAAAATTCTGTGAAAATACTACATTTTGTTATTTCCCTTGTAAATTATTGTATGAAGCATGATTGTGGAAATATTCGTAGAAAAAATTTAAGAAATTTGGATCTTAAAATTACAAATCTCAATAACAAATATAATTATATACACACACGTATACGTATAATTTAGAATGAATATCAATCATAAATAGCGTGTAAGATGTTCAAGTTATCGGGATGTACTTTCATTAGCGTCATACGTGGAGAATTTAATTAAGAATTAAATAATGACGACTTGCTACAAAAATATATATAATTATAAAAAGCAAGTTCTGTAAGTTCTGTACACAATTATATGTATATATAGATGAGGATATATAATATCCATTCTCTTTTTCTAGTATACATTAAATAAGATAGTGTTGTTTATTTATGAAAATAATTGTTAAATTAGCCCATTGTTTTATATGCTCGATTTTCGTGTATATCTTCGATGCGCTTAAATTTAGAATAAATTGTACGCGTCTAATTTCATTAAGTCTTTATACTCCTCTATTACACTGCCAAATTATATTTTGTAACGTTGTAAATAGATATCAATCAATACATAAATTATGCATTCGCATGGAAATGTTCACAGAATTCACATTTCTTTGTAGCGAAGTCTTTACAGTCCGCCGTAACTTGAGCTAGAAATAAATATTAGACAAATAAAAATACAATTTAGTAATACGTTTTCCTGAAAGTTTTATTTTGTGCGAAAGCGCATTTAAATTCCATACGTATGGCTGTTAAATGTCACGCACTTACACGTGGAATAATGAATATCGGTTAGGAGGTTAAGGAATCTTCGGACTAACAGAATAAATGGAAAATAAATCAAATTTGAAACAAAATTATCGATTATACTGTGCACGCGAATCACATATCAAAAAGCCAGTCTATGTTTCAAATAAGTAAATATCGAATAACCTGTTTCGGTAAACAAGCAAAAGTAACGATGATGTTTATAATTTAGAGATATCAGAATTTACACCTTCTACATAATCGTAGGTATATACTTTTTTATGTACAAATTATAATTGTGTCATATATTTGATACCTCTAGCAAATATATCGGTGCCATTATTTATTGTATCTAAAGTTAATGCTATATTTTTGCAATATTTATTTTGTGCAATAATAATTGCTATTAAATGTCAGTTAATTTGAGATTTGACAAATGAGAAAATAATAGCAACGAAGTAATGACAGTGACATACAAGACAACTATATATATTACAATACTACAATACTACAATCAATTAGCCTTGTTAAATCTTTTTTTTTCTAGGAATTCTGATAAATAGATACACTATCCTTATGATGAGCAATAAATATAAATATAAATAGTAAGTCTAGTTATTACTAATAATTCATTTCTTCTGTAAAAAGTTACATGCTTAGACTTGATGTCAAAGATCGTGTTCTAATTAGATTTATAATATCATGTAGTTTTTATTTCACGAAGTGCGATTAAAAACACATTATTATATAATATAATTCACATAAAATTATTTCTTTCATACAAAATATTAGTATATTTTAAAATAATTGAACATTACGTCATCTTACACCTACGCAACTATATACACCACATTAACTGTATAATCTGTTTTCTCACGTATTTCAGCAGTTTTTTTATTTTTTAATCAGTGAAGCTATATATTGAATCAATATAAAAAAATTGGTGTGACCTTTGTGTGACCTTCAAATAATTCTTCAAGGTCAAACCAATGGTACCATCTTATGTCCCTCTCGAAACCATACAACTTTTGTCTGAAACATTTTTGTCTGCTGGGCTCAGTTTTCGAGATATTTTACTGTCCAAGTTAAAATAGGACACCCTGTATATTAAATATTGTTCAAGTGGTGAATGTTCATGATAGACGCGCGACGTGGATAAGAAGGCACATGGACAATAACTCGATAATTTAGAAACTCAAGTAATATATATTCAAATAAATTTTAAATAAATTAAATTATTATAGCGATATAATAATGAATTTATGCGAATTTTTCTAGTGTTGATACGATACTTAATTGATTTACTTAATTGATCATTTTTTAAGATTTAATTACGCGATTTTAACAAATATGTAATCTACATGTTATAGTATTTTAAAATTATAATTTAGAAGTAATTACCTATTTCTCAATATATTGTATATATAAATTAGTACTTTTTATTTAAAATATTTTTAGTGTTCGTCGGAGAAATTCGTCACTCGCACGAATAAATTTCGAAACTTCGAAGCTTCGAATTTAACTTCGAACTTCGAAGTTTCGAAGATTCGAAGCTTCGAAGATTTCGAAGTTAACTTCGAACTTCGAAGCTTCGAATTACTTTGAAGCTTCGAATCTTCGAATATCGAAGCCTTCGAAGGAAATCACTAGCCCTTTATTGATCATAATAATCTTTGCAAAGTGAGCGAGAATCGCTAATTTTATTCCGATTTTAATATGCAGTAAGTAGTGCATTAATATTCCATAAAACGTATGTCCACAGTAGATATGATTATTATATTTGCATTCTCTCACAGGAAACCGATCATCACGGGTATCTTGGCGCGCGAGGTCGAAGCCACCTTGCTTACCGCTAATATATACACTTCTATGCTAACAATATGTCTCCTCTATTATCAAAGTAAACTCTCAATACCAGTGATTGCGTTTGTTCTGACATGAGGTTTCCGTACCTAAATTTAATTTGCTATGCTGAAATTATTAGGTCACTGGAAGCAGCCAATTACGATCATGCTTCGTGCATGCGTTTTCTAATATAATTGATAGCTGTTACTAGAAATAATAATATAACAAAAAGTTCTCGTTTCAGACAGTGTTTTATTGCTCGGCTTAAATTGTAAAAGAAATTACAAGAGAGGTCTAAATTATGTGATGTCACTCTACTTACGAGATAAAATTTATCCGTAGAGATATTGAGTTTTCAACTGATTTTTACATTACGACGTACATTGAAATTGCGAAGACATTTGTCTGACAGTCAAATAAAAATGAAAAATATTATGTTACACGAGGAAGAAAAAAATCTAACTTATGTAGAAAACAACAATTACTTTATTAAAAATATTTTTTAATTAATTTTAAAATATTTTAATAAAATATTTAATTACACGTTACGGTCACGGCTATATTTTATCTAACTTCTTAAAATAAAATAAGCAACTAAAATATTTTTTTAAATAATAATTATTATAAAGTTTATACAAATAAGGTTAATTAAGAATAAGGCCTCTTAACTCTCTCTGCCTCTTTTGTTCTTTTTTCTCTAACTTGCTTCTATGAATAATACTTTTCGTTAACGCAAATATGTTTAACAAATTCTTGAGCTACAGTGCATTTGAATGTGTTTTACTAATTGATAGCTGAAGTAATAAGTACAGTCTGTCAACGTCTGGTACACGTTTAGTTAGCTAGCATGACAAGTATTATATCACGACTTTGATAACTTAAGTGGCTTCTTTGAGCTAATGGATGCACATTAATTATGACGTTTTAACTATTCCTAGTTAGCTTCATTATTTATTTGCAATGATTCTATATCATATTACTTTATTTTCTGTTATTACTATAACGTGTGTGTAAACTTTGAAAACGTGTGCTTTTTACATGTCTATTTCCATTGATTCGTAAAACTCATCACGCATTCTTCACTATGTTTCTCTGGTACGCATACATAATCGCATTAATGGTCAAACAGCAATGCCCGTGTTTGCCCGTGTTGTCAGTACATATATTCTATAATATATGAGAACATCTTGAAGCATTTGCATCTTTTATTTTTTATTTTTTAATCACATTGTTATCGAGTGGTACGTGCGACGATACAATGAATACAACAATTAACCAGCGTGATTACTTTTCAACAGAAATATATTTTACAATTTTTGCGCACAGCACAAAAAATCTAACGGTTACACGAAACGGTTATGCCGCTGTGATACAAGAGAAGCAGTAGAACAGATAAAAATAAATAAAGATCGGCGGTTACCGAAACTGTAGTGAGACGAGAAATAGCACCTCCCCCCCCCCCCCATACAGTCGCAAATAATAAGATTTACAGGATTGTACCGTTGCATTTGTACCGACACACTTAAAAATATTTTTTATAGAATGAGGTGAATTTAACCAAACCGCGAGTAATTTCAAATAATCATATTTCTTTCACGGTACAATTGTTAAAAAATAATTTAATTTACATCGATAAGATATGCTTGTACTTTAAATTACAAAAAATGCAAATGTCAAGATATATGCGAAAATTTATTAAGCATTTAAATAAAATTAGTATCCGTATCTAATTATCGCTGTTTAAGAATCAACTTATTACACGATTATAAAAAATTTTGGACAATGGAATTAAAAAGTTCCTTATTTTTCCTAACGATTTATAGAGTATTAGGCTCAGTGAGAAAAGGTGAATTTAATCCTTAAATTTCTGTGTCATTAAGAATAAATTTTTAAAACAAGAAATATCAAAATTATTTTTATTTGCTGTGGAAATGCTATAAGATTTATTGTAATAAGAGGAGGCCCAATGATCTCTATTCTGTCCGCAATCGCGTATTCTAAAATGCGCAAAGCGTTCTGTTTGATGCGCAACACACCTTTGTATGATTTTCATCGAATGGATGATTACGAAATCATTGTTTGCTACAGGATTACTTAATTTCCAAATTTATTTATCATGACAAAAGCTGTGAAATTATATTGACTTGCTATTTTTAGCAACATATTACTAGCAATTTATAAAAAATATGGATTATTATGATCGTTTTTTAAAACTCTGGTATTTGAAGCGCGTAAAGTATTCGCTCAAAAAACAAAAGGTCAATATAAAATTCTGGCGATACGTAAATCGATTTCACAGTAAACCTTCGAAAAAGAGCTATAAATAAAATTGAATAAAATTCTTGTGTAAAATTACAAATTTATTCAATAAACGTGAATTCTTTACTAAAAGAAAGAGATTAAGCATTCCGATTGTTGATCTGTGAATTCTCAAATTATAATCAAGATGTAAGAAGAAAGCGATTATTCATCTACTCAACGATTTTCACGTAGAACTTTTTCTGATATCTTTATTAGATTCATTCAACCTTGACATTTCCTTTTCAGTTTCCCCGTAGAAATTTATGAAATATAAAGCCGAGGCAATATCCGCGGTACCGTTCCGTAAAAAGCGTATGTTAGACCTACCTGAATAATTCATATGTGTCCGCGATAAAATCATCCGTCTACACCTGTTTATTCTCCAAATTAACATGTGCACATTTTTTTCTCGCGGATACGCAATATATTATGTACTTAACAATAATGATTTTCATTTTGTTTGCGACGTGTCGCATTTGGAGAGGGAGAAATGGTCACTGTTATAAGACGTTCGGAGTGCCATCCGGATCATACACTTCCAGCCCGACCATTCGCGGACCACCTGTCTCCGTGGGGTCCTCGGTCCAGCAACCCCGTCGTCGAATCTCCCAGGCATCCACAGCCGGAAAATACTTTCGTTGAGCTTCTTGCTTGCTTATTTTCCATTTCTGTGAAAAATGACGTCAGCGAAGGCGACATTTGTTACGATCCTGTTGGCTGTGACAATGAACGACGTAATAGCTGCCCGAGAAATACGTAAGTAAAATAGCACAGATAGTAAGTCAATATTTTTGTTTCTAGCGCCGGCTATTCCTGTCAAGTGCTAATAAACTAAAATGTTAATAGAATAAAACTTTTTCGGAGATGGTTTCATACGGCTTGTTCAATTATATTTACTTTTTTTGTAAGCGTATGCTGATTTGCTAGTGCGTTATTTCACTATTATATACACATGCTATTAAACAGCTAAATCCTAAAAGTGATTGATTTGATACCTGTGATTCGCACCACAATTAAAATTTCTTAGTACATGTGCACTTTAAAAGGTACTCGTGTCTGTGATTTAAGCTACCATCAGCATTAACATCACGTCAGACGATCTGTAATTTCTGTCAAGTTTATCGCAGAAGAATGTGGCTAGATTTGGATAGAATTCTATTGAGTTCACGTACGGAATGAAAGGAAATAAGAAACATTTATAGAATTAGAATACACCCACACACACAAGTATACAAGATATACATATAAATTAAATTTTTAACTAAAGTATACACATTTGTTACAATATACGACACGTAAATGTATTGAAATTAAAAAAAATTTAACATAAATTATAGAACTTCTACAATGGCTTTTAGAGACTTTATACAACCTATAATTTATTTAACGAAGTATAATTTGTTAATTAAATTTTTTATTTGAATATTAAATACATAAGAAATACATTTTTCTGTATACATAGATATGCATGTGTTACATTCTTAAGCGCGTACCGCGAAAAATTTGAGGTACATACGTGTTAAAATAAAAAGTATACGTAATTACGAGGTACATAAAAACCCACCAAAATAGGAGGGAAGATAGTATCTCGAAATTAGGAGTCTTATTTTGAGCAGAAACATGTCACAGAAACATGTCTTGTTGGTGGATGCCCACAATATAGACATAAAACGGAAGATCGATCCACATTATGTAATTTGCTAATGTACTCTGTACACATTCACAGTTTAATTCTTGGCACTGGCCACGAAAAATGCCTCGAATATCTATATCACGAAACGTGTCCGTAATGTATGTAATGCGCACGTCGCGTCGTGTCTTTAACCGACGCGATTACGCAAATGTGACACGACGAAGGAAGGTAATGACAAAAGCAATTTCTCGTTGGCATAGAGATGGACAGGTATTTGGAGGTACATTGTACCTCGTATTACTTTAGGAGGTGGGTACGTACGGGAACCGCTTGTACGTCCTAAAAAATGTACCGTGAATTTATAGACGGTACATCGAACGGTACCTTCAACTGATCGTCATATATTCATTATTACCTCGTATATCTTGCACCTCGTGACAATACACCGAGAAAAATATCTTCCCTCCTATTTTGGTGGATTGTTATGTACCTCATAATTACGTATACTTTTCATTTTAACGTGTACCTCGAATTTGGCGGTACTGCGCGATACCTGACTAAGAGTGTATATTAAGCACATGCTTATTTTAACATTGTATCTTCTTATATGTAATCAAAATCGAAGGTGATCAGAAAGTCTTTTATTTCTTCGTTAATAATATGTGATTTTTATAAAACATAACTTTTTATATAAGACCATATGAATCATTAAATTTAATGTATTTGGGTAAATTTCTAATCTTATTATACGTCTTTCTGAATATTGAGAAATATAAGAAAGTGTACGAATAGCAAAAATTGATTTAGGAAGATATACATACATTTTTTTATACAATTAATTTACATTACATTATACTGTAAGTGCATTCAGATTGAATAATGAATATTAAATGTATTTCAAATCGAAGGTGTAGAGTGTGTGAATGTATTATTAAGAGGGTTACGTAAAAATGATGTTACGTTTATAAATAAAATTAATACAGATTGATGCAATTATTCAAGACAGGTTATTTATACTTCCGGTATTCTTCTAATATTGTACCTGTATCGATTATCTCTGATGGGTTCCAATGTGATTGCAGCCGAGTTTTTGCATATTTGCCAGACACGCGAGCCACATTACGAGACATGCGTCAGCGAAAGCATAGAATATTTGAAGCCATATCTTAAAACAGGCGTACCGGAGTACAATATTCCGTCGTTAGAACCTCTCATACTACAAAAATTAACGTTCACTCCGACAAGCAGCATTCGAGTAGATGCATCCAATATTGAAGTGACTGGTGCCAGCAACTTTGAAATTAAGAAAGTGAAGTAAGTATAAAACAAAAAGTAATAAGTACTATCCATATTGCAGAATAGCTTGTAAAATTTTTAATGCAAGCACGCAATACCGTGATGTATCCGTGAAATGTAATTGCAACAGTAATTTTTTTACATGGACAAATAAAATTAATATTCTTTTTACAGTCATTAATCCGTCAAAGTTAACACAAAGTTAAATCTGATATTCTTAAACGATACGATTCTTTTCGCATTCTTTTTATAATCAGATATATTGGCATAATAATGCTTTGACATAATTTATCTTTCTCATTTCTTGGACGAAGAATTTACATTTGTACAAGAATAATATGATGCAAGTGATGTAATAAGATTGAAATTGCTGAAATCTTACAAAACACTTCCGATGCATGCTTATGTTTCTATTTTTGCTACAGAATAAGCACGTTGAATAGATCTCCACGCTTATGCTATACGTAACCTTGCGAGAGTATTATTCGAGTAATGACATTATTTTGCACGAAATTTTAGGCCACGAACCATTCGTAATATTAAATTGATACAACCGTGCCCTCTCTGCTTAACGATCAATCCAGTCGGACATTACATAAGATTAAAACAAGATGATTGTGCACATATGATGTTTTTGCTGTCATTGACTTATAACGTATGTTATTATTCGTTTTCAAAGCTATATAGATTACACAAAATACGGAAGAAACATGAATATCCTAAATACAAGACATTTAAAAAAGGAAAATCTCTCTAACAAATATTCTTTAAAAAAGAGAATGAATAAATATGCTGAAAATTTTTCATAGAATGTGGCTTTTAAAGCATGTTATAATATAATTACTCTGGTTACACAGTACTATAAAATAAAAATAAAATGTTACTTGCTAGATTTCATATTTCATTTTAATATATTTTACCTTCACATAAGATATCAAAACTTTATTGTAAAACATTAAATTTTTGTAACTTTATTTTAATACTTTCACTTACAAAATAATGGTATAAGCTAAATGATTCAAAGAAAACTCTTAATTACATTTAAGGAAAAGTATGCAACTTGTTATGTGCAATTGAGGAACGGACGCCGCGTCGTTTGTATTCCGCGCATAGACGGCCGTGACACGAACACTCGAAGTGCGTCGACCACAAAGTGTCGACAATAATCTCGCCTGTTCCTCAAAGCTTGTAAAAAAGAAAAATGTTATAGATGAATCATTTATAAGGGCTAAAAAACTAAACGCAAACAATAGTCGACGGTGATGTTTCTTGTTACTTTGCAACACACAACATGCGAATTAAAAAGAAACACCAGTTAAACAATATATCGAGCGCTGAGAAAGAGATAGAAAGAGAGACAAAACTTACAATGGGGCACTGTAATAATGTGAACAATAAAAAAGGGTCGACGTCGTGCATTGAAATTGTTAGTTATCGTTAATGATTTCCCACGTGTGGGAACTGTGAAGGAGAGATTTACTAATCCAATGGCAATCTATCGTGTGTCCATCAAGAAATCCATTCGTGGAATGCATGCTGCTCACATTAACGCTTTGCTATGACACCATGCGTGACATTATGTGATATCTTGGCAATAACGCTAAGAGAACTTACAAGAATATAATTTTCTAGCAATTGAGCGCAATTTATTGCTCGTAACTTTCTAATAATCGCAAGTGTTTTAAAATAATGTTTTTAATTGAAATCTTACATTACACCTGTAGGAAATTACGAGGGTAACGCATAGCATGCAGCGATACAATCGTAATAATAGTCGCAACGAACTTTGATGAAATCTATGTAAACCGTAATCTTTACATCTGTCTCAGATCGGGTGAGATTAACTGACAATGAGATATACGAAATAAAAATCCCATTGCATCACTTCGTGAGATTTCCAGGGTGCAAGTTAGTTAATAATTTACTTTGTGCAATGCAAATGCAAATTATTACTGACACGGATGTAAATACGACCTAGAAAGTTGCCACAAGCGTTCAATGAGTTCTATTTTCTTGTTCGTTCTCGTCCCTTAATGCAATTCGTTTCTTTTTTAAGACTCGACTTCAACTCCATGGTCTTCCTGGTGGATATAGCATTGCCAAATATTCAGGTTGAAGGGAAATATGAGATCGACGGTAAGATACTGTTACTTCCGATTCGCGGATCCGGTCCGATGCACGGCAACTTCTCAAATTGCATAGGTATTTATCATTGTATAAATTATATTTCATTCATTATACCACACTTCTAAATCTTCCAATTATAATCAGCAACTGGATTGTTATCTTGCAAAAATTTCAGAAATACAAAAACTGTCTAGCGTTATGAGTTTTCAATGTATTACGTATATGCGTATAAAAATGTGTACATATTATTTCAGTGGATAGCGTTTTATCAATAAATTACGATAATGTTGTCATCACTACTTGCAGTAATAATTTTACATTCGACTTATTCATCTCATAAAATCTCGGTCAACTTTCCAGGCGCATGCAAAATACGGGTTGCGAAATACGTTGACGAGAACGGCGAAGAGAAGATACGCATCACGGACCTCAGAATAAAAGTCACAGTAGGCAAGGGTACGATGAAGCTAGATAATCTGTTTGGTGGCGAAAAAGCCCTCGGAGATGTCATCAATTCAACCATCAACAGTAATTTCGATCTCTTCGTGAAAGAGTTACTGCCACTCGTAGAAAAGGCATTATCCGACGCGTTTCAGAATATCGCTGGCAATATCGTTCAACAGTTCACATTCGCCCAACTCTACCCCGGCGCTTAGATCCATATTTGTGATGCAGACGATCGGGCAGGCTGGAAAATTTATAAATTATCAATTTTTTAATTTGAAAATATATTGCAAAATAAGGACAATAGAACGAATTACAGAAATGCATTGTTACTTCTCGCTACATTGAGTGTTTTTTAAAGGTATGCACTCAATTAAGATTCGCATCGCCAGCTTGTTATACAGGGTGTCAGATTCGATATGGACAATCCCAAAGATTATAGTAGATTGGGTTAAACT